GCGGTGGTCACTGAGGTGAGGGCCGGCGGGGGGGATGGTGTCCCCGCTCCAGCCCCACGAGTGGGAGCGGCCAGGGGAGGCCCTCTGAGCTGGGCAGGGGGAGGCTGTGGAGGCGGGAGGGGAGGCAGACAGGCAGACAGGCTGAGATGGGAACATGGGTCTTGGCCTCCCGTCTGCAGAACCTCCTGGGTGTCAGTGCCCCGGCCTCGCACGTCAGGGACCCAGACCGGGGCTGAGGCTTCACGGGGGGAGGGGGAGGGGGTGGCGGGGGGGCAGGGGGAGACGAGCTGGGTGCCTGGCCGGACTGATGCCCCAGCAGACCGAGCCCAGCTCCCGACAGGCCCACCGCAGCCACCGGCAGGCGCCGCGGGTCTGAGCGCCCTGCCCTCCGAGGGAGGCTCCTGCTCAGGCGGCCGGCCCCAGGGACAGAGAGAGAAACGGGTTAAACAGTGAGGGGCACAGCAGCAGCCATGAGCCCGGCCCCTGGGCACATGAAAGCCACCGTGCGCGGGAGGGCGCTGGCCGTAGCTTCACTCGGATTCCAGACTTCCTGTGAAGAGGATGCGAAACACCTCAGGGTTTTATATCAAATGCATGTTTATATCAAAAACATGTTCTGGATAGAGCGTTACATGAAAAGTATTATTTAATAAATCTTTATTGTTGAAAATATTACATATGTCCCCTTTCCCCCCCCCATTTACCCCCTCCAGCCCTCCCCTCCCTCCACCCCACCCCCACTCCCACCCCGGCCCTCACCCCCCACCGTCTGTGCCCATGGGGCATCCATATGTGCACACAAGGTCCTCCCCACCTCTGAAATGTCCTTTTAAAAACTGATTTCACCTGCATCACTTTTCCATGTTTGGGAAGTTTGAGACGGCAGCTGTGGCTGGCATGGTGCCCACGTTAGTCTGTCTGACGGCGCTGGCCTGGCCGCTGGGCAGGGCCCCAACCTCAGCCTTCCCAGGTCTCCCCCTGACACGGCTCCTCCCCTCGAACCAGGCAGGAGCCCAGCCCCATGGCCTTCGCTCGCCTGGCACTCGCTTCCTCTGTGGATGGAGGGGGTTGAGGTCACTGAGCCCGTCTCCCTCCCGCCCTGTGCTGGCGACGGCTCCAGTGGCAGCTGCTGGCATCCTGGCTGGAGCTGCAGGCTGCGCGGCTGCTGAGCCCGGAGGCCCATCGGAGCGGGAGCCGCGCAGCACCCATGCAGCGAGGCAGCAGGGCGGAGGCGTGGCGGGGCCAGGGCGTGAGCGCCCCACTCTCTCCGCCAGCTCCGGGCCCCCCTGCCGGAGCAGATGGCGGCCATTGCTGTCAGGCCCCGGGGCGCCCTGACCGGGACAAGCTTCGCATCTCAGGAAATGGCTGTTTGCTGGAGCTCTGCACCAGAACCGTGGGGCCCGCTGCTGACCGTCTCCTGGCCCCCCCCTTCCTGGGCTCCCAGAGGACAAAGGCCCTCCACCAGCTGGACGAGAGGACGGGCTGTGGGAAGGGGAGCCAGGGGGGGAGCCGCCTTCAGTGCCCGGGGAAGTAGGGGGGCAGCCCAGGGACCCACAGGGCAGGCGGAGGAGACTCTTGGCTGCCAGTCTACCCAGCGGGTCTGATGAGAGTGCTGACCGTGACCCCAGCCTGCTCCGAGCACAGCGGCAGAAGGTGCCGGCTTCCCCGCGGTGCCTGCTGGAGGAAGAGTTTGGAGGAAGCACCTCCACAAACTGCCTGTGCTGTGGGAACAGGCTCCCCATCCTGGGGCCAAGACAGAGAACACGGGGCCTCACGGTCAGGCTGCCTTGAGTCCGTCCCTCCCCGGGAATGGTTCCCTCTCCGCAGCCCTGGGCGACCGTGATCACCCCCCCCCGCCACTGCTCCTGAACCCCAGCCCTGCAGCCCGCCCCTCAGAGAGCAAGCAGGGGCTCGGTCACGCTGCCCCCTTGAATTGCGGTGTGTGTCTGTGGGGGGTGGGGGGCGCTTAATAGCCATCGTGCAGTCGGGTCTGGCGGAGGCAGCTAGCCAACCACGCCCCCCCAGGCCAGCAGCAGGCGTGCAGCCGGAGAGCGAGAGGCACAGGGCCGGGGGTGGGTGGGGGAGCCGCGGTTAAGTGGCACTGAGCCGTTCACTGAGGAAGACAAACGTTTATAAAATGAACAAACAGAAAGAAAATACTAACAACAGTCTTCACAGACTGACTGCTAATTAGCCTTATTGCCCGGAAATTGGAAAGCAAACGAGGGCAGTGCCTCCACCTGCTGCCCTGGTCCTGGGCCAGCAGCCCCCTCACCGGCCCTGGGCTCCGACAGGCCGGGACCGCCTCACGGCACGGCTGCGGTGAGGAAGAGGAGGGCCTTGTCCAGATCCAGCCTGGCTGGGCAGGCTCCCACGGCCCGGGCAGAGCCAGGGCAGGGCTCAGGGGCGAGCGGACGTGCGGGCAGCGGGGGAGGGAAGGAAATCAGAGAAAGATGCCTGTCTTATGGGCGATGACCCCGTGCCCCCTCTACCCCCGGGTCACACAGAGCTAACGTCACAGGCCCGGTCCCCGCCTGTCCTCCCGCCGCCTGCCAGAGATGCCTGGGGAAGTCCAGCCCCTAAAGAGGTGGCGGCTCTTTGCCAAACGGTGGTGAGGTGAGGACTGCAGTTCACGGAGGGGAGCAAGATCACCTGCCAAAAGGGGGGTCACAGCAGCACAACGAACGTGGCCGGGGGGGCAGGATGGAGGAGGGCAGGGCCCTGGGCTCCCAGCAGCCGGCCGCCGGGGCTGTGGCCACCCACCCTGCCCCCAACGCAAAAGCAACACACAGCGCGGTCCTCAGACCAGTCTCACCGGCGGGGAAAGGTCAGACAGCGTATTCCATCCGTGTTAGTCATCTGCGGTCCTTCCTTTTTTTAAGGAGGAGACTTGGATAGTCTGGTTTTTTGTTTGTTTTTAATATATTTTTATTGATTTCAGAGAGGGAGGGAGAGGGAGGCAGAGAAACAGCAATGATGAATCACTGACGGGCTGCCTCCTGCCCATGCCCCCGTCAGGCTCCAGCCGGCAACTCGGGCCTGTGCTCTTGACCGGAAGTGAAACTGGGACCTTCAGTCCGCAGCTGATGCTCTATCCCACGTGTCAAACACAAGGCCCGCGGGCCAAATCCGTCCCGCCAGGCCTTGCAATGTGGCCCGCCCCGCGCTGTCATCACTGCACTCCGCTGGGTTTCCATCACAATGACAGTTTATGACTGTTCAGTAAACCATTCGGCCCACGATTTAGGCTGGATTTTAGATTTTGGCCCCTTCTCTGATTGAGTTCGACACCCCTACTCTATCCACTGAGCCACACGGCCAGGGAAATGATTCTGTTTCTAACTGTACCAACGGCGGACACGGCTGCTAAGCATGGCCGTCACCGTGCTGGGCGGGGGGCGCCGCCAGGGCTGTGCCGGACACCGGTCTCCTGCCGGCCCCACCCCACACCACCGGGCGAGACTCTTCCAGGCGGTGATGTCAGGATGCGGGCAGCTTCCAATTTATCTTGGCTTCGGGGCAGCGATAAATTTTACAGCTACACCTGGTTTCCATCTCCTCTGTAGCAACAAGTATCTTCAAAACAAAAGTTTAGAACCAACACATATTTCTGCTATCTTTGGACATTTTCCTGGCCTCTGCCGGTTCCAGGCTCCCGAGGCCCAGCGCCACGTGCTGTTCGGATTCTGTGAGCGGTGAGCTCGGCGGGAGCGGGTGACGCCGGGTGTGAAGTCAGCGGCGGTGACGGGCAGAGGGAGCCAGCCTCGCTCCCGGGGGGCGCCATTGCCTCAGCCTCGGCCCCTGTGGGGAGGAGCCCTGCCCGCCCAGGCTGCCACCCGCAGCCAGTGCAAGGCGCAGGGTGCCAGCGGGGGAACGGGGCGGAACCAAGGCTGGGAGGGTTTCATTTGCCAATGGGGAGTCCAGGATCCTACGTGGTTGAATGTAAAACTGGGGACAAGACAGTACATTGGAACCTCGCATGTGAGAGAGAGAAAAACTGAGTCCCAGCGGCTCACCGTTTCCTAAACAGAACCCACAGGGTGGGTGAGGGCAGACAAACGGGCCAGATCGTGTCTCTGAACCCCGGGCTGAGCATTACCCCCAGAACGCTCACGGCAATGCTCCTGCAGATCAGCTCGCGCGCAGGCGGGAGAGAATGCTGAGCACAGCTGCCCACAGGGAGCCCTGAAAACAGGCATGGAGCTTCCTCCTGGATGTGGGGAGACACAGGGCCTACAGCACCCAACTGCTGCCGAACCACAGCCCATCCTGGGGGAGGGACGTCAGCCCGACAGGAAAGATCCACACCCGCTCCGCACACCGGGACCCCCTGGGCCACCTGCTCCCTGGGAGGGCAGACCGTGGGCACTGCTTCTGCTCTCCGGCCCAGGGCCTGAGCCTGACCTCGTGCGTGCTGGGGGAGCTGCCTCCTGGGCCTGCGGACAGGATGGGCCCTGCCTCTGGCACCCCGTCCCCCTCCACTCAGCCTGTCCAGTATCCGTGGAGCCTGCACAAAGGACGTGTGAGCTCACCGGCGACCCAGGCCCGGCCAGCTGTCCCCACGCAAATACATCCTGTAACACCCAACAGGTCTTTCCCGGCATCGCTGCTGACACAGCCGTGCTGGTCAGAGCAGCCGGCGGGGAGGAGGGAGGACTTCCTGGTGTGGCCACGAGACAGAAAAGGCTCCGGAGGCTGTGGCCAGGACCCCGGTGCCGGCCCTCTGCAATGCAGGCCCTGGAAGGCCCCGAGCAGACACAGGGACACTGCTGCCGGAGGCGAGGACGGCTCCTCCAGCCCGGCCCGCCCACCCGCAGTGCCGCGGATGCCGCACAGGCGGCCGCCCCGCCCGAGGGCTCCTGGCGGTGGAGCACGGCCTGTGGCTGTTCAAGGCGGCGAAGGAGACGTGGACCCTGGACCATAGCTCACTGGGGAGCAGGAGGGATGAAACTCAGCTCCATAAGCCCTGAGTTTCAGGACCAAAAACCAAGACCACAACCTACGATCACTGTTTATATTTTAGGAGGGAGGATACCCCTAAACTGTGTGGCAGAGACCATGAAACTTCAATTACAAAAAAAAAATTATCCTTGACCCAAAGCAAATCCTGGGGAGGAGGGACCACGTGTGAGCACCTCAGTCTGCAGTCCTGACGAGCAGCCCAGCTCCTGCAGTTCCCTGGGAGGCGAGGCCATCGCCCAGGCCGGAGTCCGTCCGCGAGAACGCTCTCAGGTCCTGCGGCCATCAGCAGCCTCTGCCAGCTGCTCGCCAGCGCCTGGTCCCGTCCCCTCTGGGATGCGCCCACTTCCACAGGGACTGAGGTTCAGGTCCACCTCAGGCTTAGGCCCCTTTCCTCCTAGCTTCCTCACTGCTTTGTCTTACAGCGATGCCACGACAGAAATAATGACCGAGGACAACATAACGGGGTACGAGAGAAACTGGTTAAACTGTGGTGGCAGCTACAGTGACAGCCCGGGAGCTGCAGAAGGGGACACTCTCTCAGCAGACACGCCCGCCCGCCCGGATCAGGGTCACCTGACACAGCGGGCCAGGCGGCAGGGCGCCAGCCGGACCGAGGGAGGGCACGTGAAAAAATGGCAGTCTCCAGCGCCTTTGCCTTTTAATATAAGATTTGCTTTCGTCATTTGAGTGCAACACATTTCTTCTAAAAATAGAGCTCTCTGCTTGTTCTGAAACAGCTTCCACGTGGAGGTGAGGGGTGAGGCCACTGTAACTCGCGAGGCAGAGCCAGTGCGTCCGTCACAGACACGCTTCTCAGGGGGTCCTGGGTGCTCGCAGCGAGAAGCTCGTCTCTAACCCGCGGCACTGAGGGGGACGCACGCTGTACCCCTCCCGCCTGCTGTGAGCTCCTCCCGAACACGCTGCCCCCAGGGGCCAGGCAGAGGGGCCCCGCACGTACCCACCAGAGCCCACGGTGCCGGCCCTCCCGCACGTGGTAGTGGTGAGGGCACAGACAGGGCACAGGAGCTGGGGGCTGCACTCCGGCCCCGGGCCAGCACGGACCGGTGTCCACCCCTCCCCCCCGGAACCCGCTGGCTTCGCCGCCCCGGAGGCTGGTTAGCTCCGGAACCCAAAGATGCCCTTGATGTAGCCGGTGAGGCCGCTCTTGGCCTTCTGCTCCAGCTTGTCCTCCAGGGGCGGGAAGGCCACGTGGTTGAGGGCCAGGTCGAAGAAGAGGGGCTTGCAGGGGATGGGCTGGAAGCCGGGCGGGAAGTGCACCAGGTTGGCTTGCTTGGTGACGAGGGAGGGGTCCAGGCAGAATGTCTCAAACCGTTCCACCAGGGGCTGGAAGGCAAGCCACAGGGAGGGATGGGGTGAGCCACAGCCCGGCAGGGGCCCGCCGTGTGGAGCGCCCACTTCAGGGGCTGTAGGTGCGACCTCACTTGGTCCCACAAATCTGTGTTCCACTTAACAGCTGAGGCCAGAGGGGCCAGCTGGGACTGGGGTACACACGGGTCCCTGAGCTGAGCTGGGCCATCGGGGTGACCCGCCTCATACAGGCAGCTTCGGGGTTCCCGAGTGAAGGGAGAGCAGGGGAGCCCTTAGGGTTAGGGTCCCTCCACCAAGGAGCACACGTTCCCAGGACCCCACCAGGCTCACCTTGTTGTCCTTGACCTGGGAGGCGGTCTCCGGTTGCTGGGAGTCACTCGCGTCTGAAAGGTCACGGAGTCAGTAAGGACGGGCACTTGGCAAACGGTCACAGATGACACCTCTCGCACGTGCGCAGAGGCCGCCAACCTGTGGGCGAGGGAGCCCTCCCCCCGCTCCTGGGCCCACTGCCGAGGAGCCCGCACTGTACGGGGACGGCTGGGCGGAGGGACGTATGACAGTCCCCAAGGCGATGGTGGGAAAATGAGACCCGTGCAGGTTAACCGGGACCACCCGTCCATCCTCAGAGAGCAGTGCGGGGAGAGGAGGAGCGCGGGAGGGGCTGGGGGAGGCTCACCCAGGATGGCCGCCGCCTGCAGAGAGCACTTCTCCGACCTCACCTGCGTGATGAGCTCCTGCACGTCCGGCAGGTCCTGCAACAAATCAGAAACCGCAGACTCAGGAGCGGGTGACGCCACCGGTCTTTCCAGGATCAGACTGTGAGCACTTCCCTACTGAGACACACCAGCCGCTTCTGACAGGGAGCTGAGCCATGGTGCATGACAATGCGTGGAATGATGAGCCTAACGGCAGTATTAATACGTTAATCACACACTGAATGCACCGCGCCGTTTTATAGGGAAGACTGAAGCGCAGAGGGGCCAATCCCGTGCCAGCCACACCCCCGGGGGCTGGACGCTGGGACCCACCCAGCCATCGGCTTGGGCACAGGCCCTCCTCCTGCCTCGGCTCTCACTGGGCAGTGCTCTCAGCGACCCCACACGGGGATCCCTAGCGCTTCTATTCCGGACACTCCCCGGATGGCGATTGTGAAACGCCTCTCTCTCCTGGGACAAGCCATTGTCCTGGTCGCCTCACGTCTGGACGCCACCGCACGTGACACTGCGGCCACTGTCACCCTCCTCCGCCCGCACCGGCCGGGCCCCCAGGGCCCCCTGAGCTCCGGGACCCGCCCCTCCGATCGCAGACGGCTCCCACCGCGGTCCGGGAGGTGACCAGCGCACAGGCTCCCGGACGGCAGAAGCCCGGTTGAACCGCAGCCCCTCGCCGAGGGCGGTTCTGAGCGCACAGCCAGGCCCGGTGAGACCGGTGCTTCTGTTGTAAACCTCCGCTCGCCGTTCTCACGGTCTCTGCTCATAAACACACGGCTCCTTGGCCGCTGGTGCCTCAGGAACCTGCATCACCGGAGTCCGAGCTCCGGCAGCAGCTCCTCACGGCGGCGGGAAACCACACCACCCACCCCAGACCGGCCCTCGCTCTGACGGCACCGAGGGCTGCGGGCCGCGCAGAGGCGGGCGAGTCCGCACTGCCAGCCGCCGCCGCCGGCCCAGTCCTCCGCTTGGCCACGTGTGACGTCACTAAAAACCCACGGCTCAGCCCAGACCCCGCCTGTAAGAGTCAGAACCTCTGGGGGTGCAACCCAGACACCCATTCTTTCCCCCAAAGGCCGTAAATCAAGATAAATCCTGTCCTGTGTGGGGACCAGAGAGGGATGTGAATCCAGACATCCGTGTGTTTTTAAAGACCCTTCCTGGCTGGGAGGTTTATGTCATCCGGGGGAATGGCTTCCCTTCTCGGGACCTGGGCCTCCTCAGGCTGCCGCCCCCGCGCTGACCGGGCGGCGCCTGGGACCCACCTTCAGGCTGCTCCGGAAGGCGCCGGCACCGGCGCTCACCTCGTCCGCGTACTTCAGGACGCGGTCGTACAGCACGAGGGCCTCGCTCCACTTCTTCACCAGCACGTAGGACTGCGCGATGAAAAAGCACCTGCGGAGGGAGCGGCAGGGCCGCTGGAGCGCAGCTGCTGAGGACAGGCGCTCCTGGCGTTTAGGCTAACCGTAAGTTTTCTCAAGGGAGAGGGAGGGGGAGGGAAAGGAACAGGAACATCGGTTGGTTGTTGCATTTACTTACACATTCATGGGCAGTTGATTCTTGTATGTGCCCTGACAGATCAAACCCACAACCGTGGCCTATCAGGATGAGGCTCTAACCACTGAGCAGCCGGGCAGGGCTAAGTGTTAAATTTGGAAACAGGTTTCTTAACCTCAGGATCACTGCCAGGGAGACCCCGCGCTCTCACTGTCCCGGTCTGCGGGGCTCACCTGCATCCTCCCCGCAATCGGAGGGGCCAGGAGGGCCCAATGTGAACCCAGCCAGCACCGCCCACTCCGGGTCACACCCTCATCTCTGCTCATCTGTTTCAAAACCAAATCCAAACCCCCTTCCGAACGGGAACCAGTCTACCCGGAGCAGAGCCTGAGGCTGCCAGCCTGACAGGACAGAAGGGTCCCAGGGGCCAGGAGGGGCACCCTGAGGAGTCGGAGTGTGGGGGTGTGAGGGCCAGAAAAGGGCTCCAGGCGACCATTTTGTCCAGACCCCTCTTGCTACACAGCCTGCATCCAAGTTCAAATAACGAGTCATTTAGAAAAGCGAGAAGCCCGCCTTCTCTCAGCTTCAGCTCAGGCTCTGCCTGGCTCTGCTGGCTGACCCTTTTCTAGCACCGTCCCTTGTCCATGTCTGGAGGAGGAGGAAGGGGAGGAGGAGGAGGGGAGGAGGAGGGGAAGAGGGGGGGAGGAGGAGGGGAGGAGGAGGAGGGGAGGAGGGTTAACAAGCGGGCTCTCTGGCTGCCCCGACCCACCCAAGAGCAAACAAGGACCCGGGGCCCTGAGACTTGGCTTGAACTCGCTGGCCGCCGGCCTCTGAGCAGGCAGGCTCCCCGCAGCCAGCGCCCAGTCTCCTAGACAGGGGCCGCCCGTCCTCACCTGTAGGCCTTGTACACCAGGGTCCGGAGGCCAATCTCTTTCTGGAAGGCTCTGTCGTCCTCCAAGCCAGGGAGCTGGAGCAGCTCCACCAGATTCTGCACGAGACGCACAAAGAAAGCTCATGAAGCGGTGGCTGCGACCAGAGCAGACCGACCAGGGACATGAAAGCCTGGGCTTCGATCCGGGCAAGCCCGAGTCCGGTGACTGCAGCAGCCGCACCTGGGCCACCTCCCGCGTCTCCGACCCGAGGGCCTACTGCCCTTTGGGACTCAGTGCAGGCCGACCCGAGCGCCATCCCGGAGCAGCCCAGCCAGAGGGGCGGCCGCTCGGCTCGGCGCCTTCCTTCCGGAGCGGCCGCGCTGTCTGTGCCCGTCACTGTCTCAAAGCTGCTCCCTGGCAAGCGCCCAGTGTGGCCTTGGTCTCAGGACGCGCCACAGCACGTGGGCGAGGATCACGCGCAGGTCAAGGGCTGAGCTAAGCCTTGTGCTCCCTGGTCTCTCTCTGCACATCAACACGCTGAGCACCAGGTCACAGGCCTGCCGGGTGCTCTGCTGGTTGGAGCGTTTGTCCCGAACACCAAGAGGTGGCGGGTTCCATTCCCGGAGGGGGCAGAGCGGGAGGCAGCTGATTTGTGTTTTTCTCTCACTGACGTTCCTCTCTCTATATACCCCCTTCCTCTCTTGAAGTCAATTTAAAAAAACAGTAATAACATACATACCTAAATAAATGTATGTCCCAGTCACTGAAGGAACAAGAAGGACAAGACCTCTCTGGCTTTTACCAGGACCAACAGTGGCTGTGTCACCACCCTCCCTGTGGGAGCCGAGTCACGCGGTGCCCGGCCCCAGGCACCTGCAGGATGATGTCGTAGAGCCGGATCAGGTCCTGCGGCCGGGCCGAGCGCTTGCTGTCGTCCTCCGGCTGCGGCTGCAGCAGGGCCCGCTGCAGCCCCTTCGCCATGTTCTCGTTGCGCTTGATGGCCGTGGACAGCTTGATGTACGTCAGGTAGCTGGAAGGGAGCACACGTCGGCTCAGGTCACGCCCAGGCCCTGACCTCTGAGAGGAACCTCAGGTCGGGGCTGACCTAGGGGAGCGGGGGTGAGGGTGTGTCCAGAGCCGTTCAGCCTGGCCTCAAGCCCGCCAAGCCGGCCGCTGCTCAGGGCAAATATGCAGGGACCAGCCCGGGACCACCTGCCAGGATTTATTTCAGTCCGAGTTACAGGCTCTGTTTCTTCTTTTAGGAGCCACCAGCCCCGGAGGGGGTCCTTACGAAGACACGGGGAGCACGCCTGGTCCCGGGCCCACACTCACACTCCAGCAGGCATGTCAAATGAGGCATGCAGCCGGCCGCCGCGAGCGTGACACGCCTGCACCACAGGGAGGCACGCTCTGTGACGGCTCCCCAGTGGGGGCGTCGCTCCGGATGGCTGTGCGGGCGGCATGTCCCGAGGCTGTGCCGGAGCCCCCGGGGAGGCCTGGCATCTGGGCCGCAGGTGACCACTGAGAAGCCCGTAAGGAAGCGCCCAGGCTCCAGGTTGCCATCGCCTCTGGCGGAAGACGGGAGGCGCCTGGGAGAGGACACAGAGGCCTGGGCCGGGGACAGGGACTCCGTAACGAACCAGGACCAAAGGACGGCAGTCTGAGTGCTGACCAGCCTCCCAGCCTCCAGAGCACAGCAGCCAGGGGTGCTGTGGGGACCCGACTGCCCAACAAGACCCTGCGAGCCTGGAGGGGGCCATGAGGAGGCAGAGCCAGAGGCCACAGTGAAGCCAGAGCTGACGAGCCCGAGCAGCTGCCGCCAGACAACCACCCGCTCCACTGAGCGCAAAGTGGACAGTCACTCCACCCGACAGCGAGGTCCGAACCAACAGGAAAACGAGAACCAGACTTTGCAGGGAGCAGAAAGCCTAAAATCACGATGATAAATCCCTGAGAGACAGAGAAAGACTTCCCAACCACAAAGTTAGAATGAGACACTGACTTTTAAAAACAAGACTCCGAGTCTGAGATCACTGACTTTTTCTTGGGGGCATCCCTCAAGGATGAGGTGTTGAAGATCATGCCTGTGCAAAAGCAGACCCGTGCTGGCCAGAGGACCCAGTTCAAGGCATTTGTCGCCATTGGGGACTACAGTACATGTTGGTCCGGGTGTTAAGTGCTTAGAGGAAGTAGCCACTGCCATCCGCGGAGCCATCATCCTGGCCAAGCTCTCTATTGTGCCCGTGCGGCGAGGCTACTGGGGAAACAAGATCGGCAAGCCCCACACGGTTCCTGGCAAGGTGACTGGCCTGTGGCTCTGTGCTGGTGTGCCTCATCCCTGCCCCCAGGGGTGCGGGCATTGTCTCGGCCCCTGTGCCCGAGAAGTTGCTGATGATGGCTGGTATTGATGACTGCTACCCCTCAGCCAGGGGCTGCACTGCCACCCTGGGCAACTTCGCCACGGCCACCTTTGATGCCACCTCTAAGACCTACAGCTCTCTCACCCCAGATCTCTGGAAGGAGGCGGTGTTCACCAAGTCTCCCTATCAGGAATTCACTGACCATCTTGTGAAGACTCACACCAGAGTTTCTGTGCAGAGGACCCAGGCTCCAGCTGTGGCCACCACATAATTAATTTTATACAAGAAAAATAAAGTGATGATTTAAGCCAGCTAAAAATAAATAAATAAATAAATAAAAACAAGACTCCGAGAACACAAAAAGTCCTCAGAAAGGCCTTGAGAGCAGAAGTGAGAGCCACTGGCAGGGGAGGGGAGAGGAGGAGGGAATACACACAGGTCACACACTTCCGTGCCCATGCTGTGCGCACCGCACTTACACGCAGCGTCACGCCTCACCTGTGCAGGTACTGGAGGTTGGAGACCTTCCCTGACTCCCCGTCCAGGGCGAACTCTCGCTGCTTCTGCGGGAAGAGGAGAGCACAGGTCACACGGACCTCCCCCGGGCTCCGGCCCGCCCCCAGGTGTGGTCCAGCGCCCGCGGAGGCCCCTCCAGCCTCACAGCTACTGGCCATGTTCCAGAACCGTCACTCAGTGGCCACGGGCGCCTGGAAACTGGACGTGAGGGAGAGGGGAGAATTCAGAGTAATGCCAGCGAGGCTTCTGTCCGCAGCTCTGAGCCGGACCCACGGCAGTAAGGGAGGACAGACAGCCCACATCCACGGCGCAGGCCAGGGTCTGGGCCTTCTGCCCAAGTTGGACCCCTTGTGGTGTCAGCGTCTGGCTCCTGTGGCTGCCGAATGATAACCCCCGAGATGTCCATCCCCACCTGGAACCTGAGCAGCTGCTCCCTCCCACGGCGAGAGGCCTGAAGAGGGGGTGAGGTTAAGCCTTGGATTGGCCTGGAATACCCGGGGCCAATGCAATCGGGCCCTTGTAAGCGGGAGGAGGAGAGCTGCGACACAGGGAGGCGGAGGCAGAGGTCAGAGGAGCCTGAGGCAGGCGTCCAGCTCCACAGCCGCTGGGACCATCAGTGCTGCTGCTGAAGCGCCGCGCGTGGTGATGCTGCAGCGGCACGGGCGCCAGGGCCTGCTATGGCCGTATCCCTGGCCGGGAGGTGGCCTCTCGCTGTGAGCTCCAGTGAGTGATGGAGGCTGGGCTATATGTGCCTGTTTTGTTTTGTTTTGTTTTGTTTTTAAATACATTTTATTGATTTCTCACAGAGAGGAAGGGAGAGGGATAGAGAGCTAGAAACATTGATGAGAAAGAAACATCGATCAGTTGCCTCCTGCACACCTCCCACTGGGGATGTGCCCGCAACCAATGTATGTGCCCTTGACCGGAATCGAATCCGGGACCCTTCAGTCCGCAGGCCGACGATCTATCCACTGAATAACACCTGTTTTGGCTGTATGTGCCTGTTAGTGGAGGAAGGGAAGGGTCAGGTGCAAAAGCAGCTTCATGGGAATATTTACTGAACGTTTTATCCCCAGGGTACTGAGACATACGCTGAAGGAAATATACTGCTGCTTTTAAGATGCTTACAATCTTGAGGAAAGGAAATCAAAAGGGTAGCTATAAAATGATACACCAAATGTTGAATGGCAATTCCTGATTAACTATGGACATGTAGATGCTAGAAGAGGGAGGTGTTTGTGGGGAGGACGGAGCAGCAGGCGTCTCAGAGGGGAGCTGTGGTCTGGCCCTGGAAGCCGGCTGGTGTGGGTATGAGGAGGGAGCGGAAGGAGGAGCGGGTGGAGGAGGGGAAGGAGCAGGGGGAAGGCCTGTGTGTGATGTGAAGACGACGGTGAGCAGACAGCAGGAGGCGGAGGGCACGAGAGAAGCGGCTCGGGGCGGGAAATGGGCTGGACCTGGTGGGTCGCACTGGGCCTGTTGGGCCCCGGCTCTCACGTGTGCTGCACACACCCTCAGAGTGTGTGGCTGTAAGGAGAAAACTAGATCTTCTCTTTTTAACCTAATTTAAAAACCTTTTAAATGCATTTTATGTATTACAGACCAGCTGACTAATGAGGCATGTAACTTACAGACAGACACATCGGAGGTAAATGCTCGGGGTGACGATGGGCGGGCACGGGCGTACACCGGGGACCACTGCTCCAGCCCGAGGGGTCACTGGCCCCAGCGAGAGACAGAGGATGGACGAGCGGCAGAGAGGACAGGGGAGGAGTGGTGTTTGGTGACAGGGCAGAGAGGCACAGTGCCGAGAGGTTCCCCCATGCGACTGAGCCCGTGGCTGTTAAAGGAGCACCAGAGAGGCCTCATGGAGAGGAATGAGACCAAGGCCTCGTGGTACAGAGGAAACCACAGAAGCAGGAGAGGGAACTCCTCACCTGACGGAGTCCAGAGGCTTCTGCTGCTTGTTAGCCAAGCGCCCCAAACAGCAGTGGCTGAGACTCCAGGCACTGTCCTGGGACCCCACCTGGGAATGGGCCCGAGGAGGAGGCCCCAGCCCAGAGCAGGAGCCCGCCCTCGGCCGATGGCCCACCTGGTCCGGCTTCAGCTCCTCCCGAACGGCCTGGATGGCGTCCCGACACTCGCTGAGCATGGACTCAAACAGCCGCTCCTTGGTCTCCTCGCTCTCCGCCTGGACAGAGAAGGTGTGGACCCTCTGAGTGAGGCCCGGCGCTCTATCCCCATCGCACCCCAATAACGAGGGCCCCACAGACAGCGCTGCACACGGAGCCCTTCCTGGGAGCCGTGTTCACGCTGCAGGTGGGACAGGAATTCAGTACCAAAGTGACACTGAAAAGGCCTGTCCAACCGCTGACACCGTCCGTTTCCACCAGAACTCGGCACTCCCCCGCCCCCTCAGGGCCTGCTCCGGCCTCCCTGGAGGGGCCTCGCGGCCAGACCTGGCGCTGCTGCTTCTCCCGAAGCCGCCAGAGGCTGCTTTCCCTTTTCCTTCCAGAACCATCGGCCTTGCACCCCACGGGGGCCAGCAGGCCTATCCCTCCGGTAACCCAGCAGACGTGTGGACACTGGACGGCGCTGAGTCCGAGCACGTGAGTAACCGTACCGATCGGCACCCACAGGCACCGTTTCCCCCGTCACAGGCCCCCAGCACCAGGTGCCGCCCTCCGACACCTGCAGGCTCTGGAGGGCCTCGGGCTGCACCGTGACAATCCGCACAGCGTCACCCGCTGCTCGCCGGCTAGAAAGGGGAGGGAAAGTGACTCATTAACCGGGTGAACACCGGCCACCCCACATCACTGCCCCGAGAATCCCGCCGAGCGGGGGGGCGGCGGCAGAAAGGCGGTGACTGTTACTGCAGACCCACTGCGCCATGAACACACCAACATGCCGTTCTCATGTTCGATTCCCACAGAGACTGACAGCCGCGGCCTCTCAGACGCCCAGGATCCCAGCACTGCCCCTGGGGAGGGGGCTGGCGGCTTAAAGAAACCTCTGTCTGAAGAGCGCTCAGGTGTTCCCAGTTCTCGGGTGGGAAAACTGCCCTGGGATTGCCCGCGCAGACCAAACACCCTTCTATTCATAAGTCATTGCCTCCCACTGCTCCCTGATGAGGGGCCAGCCGGGGACAGGCCCTCTTTAAATCTGTGAGGCCGGCCGGCCACCAGCAACTCCGACACCCAGAGCAGCCGTCCATGGCGCTGTCACCATGACAACGCTAGGTACCGGCGTCCGCACGCAGGCGTAGCCGTGACCTCTGAGCGCCTGAAGCTTCCAGCCACTTCCATCAGCCACATGCCCGAGGCTGCTGTGTGCCACGGGCTGAGGAACACAGTCACACAGCCCGGCCGGCGCCTCGGGGACGGGCCTGTGTAGCCGTGTGATCGCACTGCGGCCCCCCCAGGGCAGGCCGGTGGCCGGGCAGCAGTTTCGGGGGCGTCAGGTGTGTGAGCGGCCTGGCAGCACCGCTCAGCCAGAGCCCCTCCCGGCAGGTGCGCCGCCCCGGCCGATACTGCCACCCGGCGATTACCACCCCCTCCCTCCGAGCAGGGTTCGCGGCCGGGACATGGGAGTGGAGTCAGAGAGGGAAACCGCTTTACCGGCTCCACAGGATCCGCCCCTCCCGCAGGGAGGGTCCGTAAGGAAAGGAAACGCTGCCGAACCCCTTCACCGCCGAGGGAGGAGGACACTGCATCAGGCGCTGAGCAAGCGAAACCCGGACTGTCAGGAGGGGCACCATGAGGGGGGCCAGCGGGAGGGAGACGCTGGGCAGCGTGCAGTCACTCAGAGACCACGCTCTGGCCTCCCACCAGGAAGCTTCCATGGCTCACGTTTCACTTTTACCCATGAGCCTACCGGGAGGCCCCATCACCGAAAGGACACGGACAGGAAGACTGCATGGAGGGCGGGCGGGCGGCTCCTCAGAACCCACAGCAGCCCCCCCAGTCTGCGCTGGGCCACCTCCCGCAGGAAGGAGGGGCCCGGACCTGCCCTGGTGTCCGCCGACCCACAGCGCCCGCAGGCCAGGCGGGTCCCTCCCTGGCCCCGTGCACACATTCCAGATCCACTTCGCACGTCCCGGGTGTGGCCTGAGGTCACCGCTCAGGCTCACGGCTCCCATACAGAGCAGAACCGGCTGCTGTGTGTCCTGAACCAGTGACACCCCCGCCCCCGCCATGAAAACACTGTTTTCACTCGCCGACAGAAATTGCTGGAAGGTGGTGGTGTGACTAAGAGACAAACAAGGCAGGTCTGACCACATTCCCACCACACCCACAGGAGAGCCAGGGATGGGCACACCTCACACAGCACTGACTCCAGAAAAACTATGGTGTCTGGTCAAGGGGTACAACCTCCCCAAAGAACCGATTTTTTAAGAGAGAATAAAGGGTCTCCTTCCCACGCAAACATTGGAGCATTAACCAGCCGAGAAGCATCACCTGCAGCTGTTAACCGGCCCCTCCCCAGCGCTGCTCACAGCTGCCCGGGCCGGCGGCGGCCACGGGGGACGGGGACTGAATAGCAGGGAGCTAGGAGGCGAGACAGCATTAACCACACGGAGATGTGAGCGTGGCTGACACTCAGGGCTTTGCAACGGGAGTTTGGCAGCGATTCATTCCCAGCTCGTCTCTCAGCCCCATGTCCGTCTCCCTGAGTTACTCCTTCCTCCCGCTTCCAGTAACTCGGTTTCAGCGCCGAGGCCATGGAGCCTCGCCGAGCAGCAGTGATGGGGACTGCATTCTGCACCCGCTCCTGAGCGTGCCAACACCAGTGCGGGCAGGTCGGAGACGTGGGACGAAGAGCCCATCCCCAAGGTGTGAGACGTCCTCACTGGCCTAGTTAGCCGAAGCTGAATTGTGATACAAATAAGGCAAAGCGCTCCCACCACAGGTGTTACCCTCTCACTGCGTGTGAAAGCAAGAGAGAGAAAGTCTCCAGGCGGGAGCCCTGCCGCCCCGCTGACCGGCGGCAGAGACGGCCCCTTTGCCAAGGGCTTGTTCCACTCCAGCCCGTGCCTAGTCGAGCCTCCCCAGCCTTCATAAACGTCAGCTTTTCGTCCTTTATCTGATACGTGTCTGTGCCCAGTCCTAGGCGCCCCCATGGAATCTGCCCCGGGCCTCCCCCTCTCCCCCCGATTCCGGCTGGAACTCCTGCCTGGCCGTCACCGACGGCAGTTCCTTTCTCCCAGCAAGTGTCCCTTAAATCACAGCCATTAGCCCAATCACATAGCTAAGCGGCTGGGAGGCTCGTCCAGGAGAGAGGCTGCCACACTCCAGTGCAACGAAATGCTCTCCAGTGTTTCTCAGTCTCCTGTTCAGGGGACACAATGAACCTCCTAGCACGTCCTAGTCTGTCCTTTAAGCAGATAAAGGAAACACCTAGCACAGAGGCACAAAGGAACTCCATCCTGAAAGCCGCCCTCAGACCAAAGAGGCTCCTTTGGGACAGTGACTGGAAAGACGGGAACTCATCAGGACTAGCCAAGCCCGACGCAGTGAGTGAGGGGCCCCGCTGCTACGGTGTCTGCGGAGAGAAGCCCAGGCGCTGGGGAGGTGGCAGTGCGCCGAGGGCCCGGCTGTTCTCCTCTCAGATGCTCTTCGCTGCACACGGAGGAGGAGGAGGAGGAGGAGGAGGAGGAGGAGGCGGAGGAGGAGGAGGAGGAGGAGGAGGAGGAGGAGGAGGTCTAAAAAGTGCTGATCGCTTGCACAAACCGAGAGCCCCCGGATCTCATTTTCTGAAACTCACTTCGTTGTTTACACCCACAAACAGGCCACACTATGTCAGCAAACAGCTCTGCATGAGAATTACACAGACCGCACATCAAACCAGATTCTCCGGTTCAGCCAGGCTCTCCTTAGAAAGCCCGGCCAGCAGGCCGGCCCTCCGGCGGGCGGCCGGTGAGAGGTCGGAGAAGGAAACAGACAGTGAAGCTGCTGCTCCACCTGCTGGCCCCAAGCCACCCTACCTGGGCCAGCTCTCCACGGCTCCCAGTGTGCCGATGACTGTAGCCATCAGTTCTTTGCCCTTTACACATAGTATCTCCTCTGTAAACTTAGTATCTTAGCTTTTAAAATAATTTTATTCAACAGAGTGCATCTTGAGACCGTTATCAAATACGCAACAGCATTAAGGATTTTGTTTTGTGACTTTGAACACACACACACACACACACACACACCTCTTTAGAAACACAGAGAGGATGGTATTGCCTCCTTACCTGAGCAATGGCCGCCTCGTTGTCAGCCAGTCCCAGTAAAAAGATCCGCACTTTGTCGATCTTGACGGGGACCGTCCTCCCTCTCCATTCCACTTCGCTCATGGTGGCCGCCTGTTTGGCTCGAGTCTGAGTGATCAATGCCTAGAAAGCAGCATCGGGAAGTTACAGCTTTAACTGATGGATATGAGTGGCCACGGTGAAATAAACAGAAACAGCTATGTGTCTCTTTCCATAGCTAACATGTTATACCTTAGAGAGTACACACAAATTTGTATTTGAATTCCTCCTGGGGATGTCTTGGCTCACAGAAACTCAGATTTAAAGACACTACAGAAGGTTAGAAGGACCGTCACTGAGTGCTGAGAGGGCGTAGGAGAAAAGCACATCTGGCATACACCACAGCAGGAATGTCAATTAGTAGAAACTTAAAATACTTACCAGTGTGTATCAAAAAAAAAGCTTCCAAAATATTTAATTACACTGTTAGAAATTTGTCCGAAGGAAAGAGTTAAGAGTATGTAGCAGCTGAAACCAGTTTGGCTCAGTGGATAGAGCGTCGACCTACAGACTGAGGGGTCCCGGGTTCAATTCCGGTCGGGGGCATGTGCCTTGGCTGCGGGCACATCCCCAGTGGGGGGGTGTGCAAGAGGCAGCTGATCGATGACTCTCTCTCATCAATGTTTCTAACTATCTCTCTCCCTTCCTCTCTGTAAAAAATCAATAAAATATATGTATTTTTTAAAATTAACAAAAACTGGGGCCATAGATATTCACAGTATTACTATTTAGCACTTAGTAACAGTGAAGAAATCGTCAAATAAACCAGACCTAAAGGAGTATTGGGTGGCCATCAAAAGATGATGATGTAGAGATGTACTTACAGAGGGAAACTACATGGAACATATTTTAATAGAATGTTACTGAACTGCACACCGAGATCCCGTTTTTATTTTATTTTATTTATTTATTTATTTATTTAATATACTTTATTGATTTTGTACAGAGAGAAAGGGAGAGAGATAGAAACATCGATGAGAGAGAGTCATCGATCAGCTGTCTCTTGCACACCCTCTACTGGGGATATGCCCGCAACCAAGGTACATGCCCTTGACCGGAATCGAACCCGGGACCCTTCAGTCCCCAAGCCGACGCTCTATCCACTGAGCCAAACCGGTTTTGGCTGAGATCCCGTTTTTAAATATATGCCTTTTCCCCTACACACACACAGGTCTGTGTGTGGCAACACATGTGATCCTGTGCTCCCAGGATCTTTTTATTTCCACTTCGCCTATGAGCCTATATTGCTTAGAAAGTAAGTGTAACATGGCAAAGAACTTGAATACTTAAAAATACTAAGTGAAAAGGTTTTTGCTAAAAAATATATAGAAGTATGCAATATTAATAGCAATTATATTGGGTGATGGGATTATGGATTACTTCTTTTTTCTAAACTTTTTAAAACCAAAGACTTTTGCCGAAACTGGTTTGGCTCAGTGGATAGAGCGTCGGCCTGCGGACTGAAAGGTCCCGGGTTCGATTCCGGTCAAGGGCATGTGCCTTGGTTGAGGGCACATCCCCAGTAGAGAGTGTGCAAGAGGCAGCTGGTCGATGATTCTCTCTCATCGACATTTCTAACTCTCTATCCCTCTCTTCCTCTCTGTAAAAAATCAATAAAAATGTATTTTAAAAAAACAAAAAACAAAAAAACCCCAGACTTTTCACAAAGAACATACATACTAGATTACCTCCAATTTCTCAGCCAGGAGACCCTCGGTGCCCCCAGACCTCAGTCTCATCTGCATGAGTTCATTGATAGCTGACTGGTCCCCTGCGAACGAGGAAAATGGTCAAGGGACTGGTCTGTTCTCTCCAAAACCACGAGGTTCAGCTCCCCCGGGAAGGAGCGCTCCCCGCAAGCGCGTGCAGTGACTCCAGTGCTCCCCGGAGCCCGTGGGGCACAGCAGACGGCAGGGCGGAAGCCAAGCAAGGCCCTGCCTTCTGCGCTCCTGAGAACTGACCGACAGTCCTGCCTTTTCCGGAGCCGGACCCCACCCCCGGCTCGCCGCGGCCGCTCACCGATGTTGTAGGCGCAGTAGCGGATGTTGGGCGAGATCTCCTCCACGCGCTGATTGTACAGCACGGCCTGCTCCTCGGTGAAAGCGCTGGCGAGCTTCTCGTAGATGGTCCTGCGGGGAAAGCAGCACCGGGTCAGCCTCGTTTAAGAAAATGAGCTCACAAGGACCATGCTGGCTAGAAACAAGACACAGCACCCTGAGGCCCTCCTACCAGCTGCCAGAGCTGGCAGGATATGAGGATGAGAGAGAGTAACATCTCTAAAGGGAAGAAAAACAAACTGGACTAACTGCACAGAAACAATCACCACCTGATCTGCAGCTTGAAGGCACGGGCCGACCTAGAGAGGCACGGGCTGGAGCCGGGAGCGGAGGACTTACTTGCATTTGTTAAAAGCCTCAATGGCCGCTTTCCATTCCTGATGCTCAAACCGCAGCATTCCTGCGAGGTACGCTGTGTAGGCCTGGGGGCGGCAGGGAAAGAGAAACAGCTTCAACGCCCAAGACCAGGTACTACCCTGTTTCCCCGAAAATAAGACAGTGTCTTATATTAATTTTTTCTCCCAAAGTTGCACTAGGTCTTTTTTTCGGAGGATGTCTTATTTTCGGGGAAACACGGTAGTTCCACCTCCTCTATGTCCTCCAACTTGGGTTTCCAGAACATAGATATTCAGGCTGACTTTAAAAGAAAACTTCTCACACCGGTAATTTAATTTACTTCCTGGGAGAGAACTTCAAAATAGAAGAAATAGGTTGTCTTCATTTTACTTAAAACCAGCTTCTGGGCTATAATGTAAGTATCAAAAGGTCAATGTAAACTTGCAATATCCATCTCGTTTAAAAAAACACATTTAAGCCCTGACTGGTTTGGCTCAGTGGATAGAGCGTCAGCTTGCCGACTGAAGGGTCCCAGGTTCAATTCCAGTCAAGGGTATGTACCTTGGTTGCAGACACAACCCTAGGAGGCAGGTGATCAATGTTTCTCTCTCATCAATGTTTCTAACTCTCTATCCCTCTCCCTTCCTCTCTGTAAAAAAAATCAATAAAATATATATTTTTTAAAATGCATTTTAAAAAATTATGATTTTGTGAACTCTTCCAAATAGAAGATGAAAAGCTTCCATCTACATATGAAAAGAAACACGAGCTTCCTTTAAAAGTGAGAGCTAATTATTAAAAACCAAGAGCTCAAAATCGAGAGATGCCACCCTGGCTGGGGGCTGGGTTGGTTGGAGCTGCAGGTTGGCTCCCTGTCAGGGAGCATGCCCAGGCTGCAGTTTGATCCCGTCAGGATGTATATGGGAAGCAGCCCATCGCTTTCATATGTTTCTCCGCCCCCACCCCCACCTCTCTCCCTAAAATCAATAAACATGTCCTTAGGTGAGGGTTAAAAAAAGAGATACCCACTTCACCTTGAAAAACCAAACCCAGCTTTCCCTCTCCTGACTCAGTGTATGCCCAGGAGCTCTGCCTGTGTACCTGTAGTTTTGGTGTCGCGCCTCCCCCCTGCACCATAAGCAAGGCTGCGGTGAAGACACTAACCTGAGCCTCTAACTTGGTCTTGGCGTCCACGCGGTTGCTCTCACACAAGCGCTCCAGTTCCTCCGCGTGTTTGACGGCTTTGCGCAGGCGGGACAGCAAGTGGAAACGTTTTCGGGGCTCAGTGTTGGCTTCCTGTTTGAGCTGCATGGCGTAGCTCCAGGCTCTCTCCGCGTCCATCAGCACCAGCAGCAAATACCTAAGCCAGAGACGGGAGCGAGCTGACGGGAAGGGCCAGGAGCAGGCTCAGACGTTCTCCGAGGCACAGCCCGCGGCCTCGCAACTTCCTCCTCTCCCCGGCTCTCCTGACTGCTCTTCCCACAGCAGCCCCGACTCAAATTGGCATCTGGGCTGAGGCTCCCTGACTCAGGCACCTCCTCAGGTTTGTTTGTGTTTTTTGGGGTTTTTTTGTTTTCTTTTTCTAAATGTATTTTTATTGCTTTCAGGGTGGAATAGAGAGATAAAAACATCAATGATGAAAATCACTGATGGGCTGCCTCCTGCCCGCCCCCTACTGGGATCGAGCCTGCAACCTAGGCAGGTGCCCTTGACCAGAATCCAACCTGGGACCCTTCAGTCCACAGGCCGACGCTCTATCCACTGAGCCACACCAGCCAGGGATACCTCAGGTTTCTAACCAACACCAGATACATCTCACTGAAAAGCCTGCTCCCACCTCAATGGCAAACCTAGACTGACCCCTCCCAAATTTTAGCAAATAGAGACTGTCCAACCACACACTCTGGCCTCTCCTTGAACCCACACCTCTCTTCTCCCAACCCCGTTAGAAAACAAAGCATTAGAAGGCGCTACAGTGAGCCGGGTGGGTGTGACTCGGTGAACTGACATCATCCCGTTCACAGCAAACTTCTCTTGTCAAGGGCCCAGTATTTTAGACTCCGTAGACCAGATTGTCTCTGTCACAATTACTGTTATGGTAGCACAAAGCAGCTGGAAGCAATACTGAGCAAATGGTGTGGCTGTGTTCCAATAAAACTTTATTTATATGGACAGGTGGCAGGAGGGCCAATCTGGCCCACAGGCTGCAATTGGAGGAACTGACAGCGGCCTTCAGCACCTGTGCCTGGCAGGTTCCTCCTCAGAAACGTGAAGCCTGGTGCACGCAGCCTGAACACAGGACTCATCCGTAGCAGCCTGCACGCGGACAGGTTCCACCTAAATCTCCTGACTGAACAAGCACTTCCAGACACTGACATTGCGCTCCAGAAACCTTTCCCAGAACTGTTAGCTTTTAATCCCCGACTTGAACATTGCATTCCACCACAACTTTTGAACAAGTCTTGAACCTTATTATGACACAGCAATAGTAAAAAGGCCCACTCCACAGAGCTGCTAACAAATCACATGAGCCCACTGGTTTGGCTCCGTGGGAGAGCGTTGGCCTGCAGATTGAAGGGTCCCAGGTTCGATTCTGGTCAGGGCACACGCCCATGTTGTGGGCTCAGTCCTATACAGGAGGCAGCCGATCAATGGTTCTCTCTAGTCCTTGATGTTTCTATCTTTCTCTCCCTCTCCCTTCCTCTCTGAACTCAATAAAAATATATATATTTTTAAAAAATCACATGAGACAATGAAAGGGTTTGGCAAAATGTCTGGCAATTGTAAAAAGTACTTAGCATCCAGCACTGAGCCGTCAGTCAGTACCTGCTATCAGTCAGAAGATCTTCCGTCACCTTTTTCCCTGTGAACTTGTGCCTGTTCCCCATCTTGAAGTTGAGAGTTTTCCGCAGACGCCTCTGTCTTCGGGAACAGTAGCCCCTGTGAGAAACCACAAACAACCGTCACTCAGGCCACCCGACAGGACGCTCCACAGTGAATTGTGATAAGGCCAGCTCCAAGGTCTAGCATGTTCTACGTTTGCTTACTACAGGCACCACACACCTCTTGCAAACACTCACTGGAGTAAAACAAGCCGGGCAGTCTGACTGGCGTCACGGAAAACAGAGCGAGACAGAGGACACGTTATCAAACCCGTCCTCTAGCTGGGAGGGTCATGCAGATAAAACGGCAACCAAGAAAACGAGGCAAATAGCAAACTGAATGTCAGGTTCTCGAGTAATCATCCTCTTCTTGCTGACACTTCACGGGAGTGGGCTGATGGGTTTTGAAAGAAAGGGCAGGATGCCTGTCTCACTATTATAAACTCCTTTAGTGCAAAGATGATTTTATTTTCCAATTTCTAAGCACAGTGCCTTCCATATAGGTGCTCAGTAAAAGTATTTTGACTAAATTAGTGTAAAAAATATATAAAATTTTACCAACCCTGAATCAAATAACATAGCGCATAATTTACAATACAGAATAATATTTAAATGCTACTGTAGTATCTTAGTCCTAAAGCTACCAGGGTACAGATTGTTAAAAAGAAAAATAACAGTCTGGCTGAATCTAAAAACTAGATCTTCTCCCTCGATTCATAATTTTTGCTTTAATTATCACTTATCCTTTTACATAAAAATCAAATGGAACACTCATACTTTATGGGGAGAAATATAAATTGCTAAAAATTTTCTGGCAATTTGGATACATTTATCACGATCCTTAAAAATGTTTATACTTCCTGAACCAACAGTCTATTTCTATACTATTCTATATTCAAGAAATAATAATAATAATAAAGGAAATAATCAACAAGGTTTCAAGGAAACAGATTCATGGGAACAAAAATTTTAAACCTTAAAAACTGGCTATCGTATACATAACCAACTCCAAGGAAAAGGTAAATAAATCATTGTATACATATAATAACACTGGTTAATAGTGCAACTCATAAGAATCGTGTGTATAGAACATTTTTATAGGCAAGGAGAAATACATAAAATAAAATTTTCAGCCAAAAAGCAGGACACACATTTGTATATACAATATGAGCAAGCTTATGAAAAAGTGCATAGAAAAGAACTAGAAAATCAAAAACACTATTTTGTGGGCACACATATACAATATATTTATGTATTTAAAGACATAAAAATGACTGAAAGGTACACACTGATGTCAATTTTACGTTATGTATATTTTTACCACCAAAAAAACAATTAAAATGCAATATTGGCCTGGCCAATATTGGCTCAGTGGTTGAGCATCGATCTATGAACCAAGAGGTAACCAGTTTGATTCCCAGTCAAGGCACAGGCCTGGGTTGTGGCTCCATCCCTAGTACATGGTGTGCAGGAGGCAGCCGATCAATGTTTCTCTCTCATCGATGTTTCTCTCTATATATCCTTCTCCCTTACCCTCTCTACAATAAATAAAAACATATTCTTTTTAAAAACGCAATATTGAATAAAATTATTAACTAGAAAAAATTGGAACAGCAGAAAGTTGATCACTGTAATAAATGTGTGATGAGTTCATTATACCATCAACTTTACAATTTGTTTTTGGACATTTTCTTAATTTTTAAAAGCAAATCAAGTGATAAAAAGCTGCTGTTTAACTCTTCAGTCGCTTCCCCACCCCTAGATGAACACCTGAAGGAGTTTAGCCTCCAGTGCCTGCCAACCTCTGGTCCTGCCACTCCCCCCTTGCTCCCTCTGCCCAGCCCCCTGACCTTCACCTTAAAGCCGATTCCTTAGGAGCTGAAATAGTGTGTTTCGGTAGCACTTTTAAAACCAGGTAGCCGAAGCCTATATCTACAATACCGAAAAAGTTGAATATTTCTGCTTTCAAAGTACTGAACTCTTATTTTTAGACTCGTATTAAATGTTTTTCAACGTACAGTCTGTCATAAAAGTTTCCCAATAAATCGTAATGCCAGAAATCCCCCTTCTATGTTTAAAATACTGTAAAGATTTGCATTTAACCAACACTACGCCATATGACTAAGTTAGAAAAATGATTACCATTAACTGCTTATTAATTTCAGCAGAAGCCTCCCACGTATCTGCAATATTGAGGCAAAATGGATAAAAAAAATTGGCTTTTTATTCATTATAAAACTTTACATTTGAAAATTAAGTCTCTTTTGAGGATCCAATATAAGTTCAGAGCTAGACTTTCTAGGTAGACTTTCTGATAGCACAAAGTAGGATATCAACAGAGGCAAACTAAGCTGAAAATTCCACAATGAGTTGCACGCGATACTCACCTGTACCTCTGAAAGTCTCCATGCCGCAAGCCGTGCTGCTGCTGGGACTCCTTAATGATCTGAAGAACTAGAGCCACGATTAAGGAAACGCTTACAATGGCAAGAACCCCAATAAATCACAACACGTCCCCATCAGTCTATATTTGTATCCAAGCACAGCATATTAGACAGTCCTGAAATACCTATTAGCACATTAACTAGTGGAACCATTTTCAATAGCTAGCTTACCCTAGGACAGGGCGAAGCGCATAGAAAAGCGGATTGCCTTAACCATCTCTGCCTTCACACTAAAAAAAGGAGGCCATTGAGGATTACTGAAACCAACAGCTTAAATAAGGCTGCTGGATTCTCAATGCTGGCTGTGAGTGGGCCGGTTCCCGCGGACTGACACCTGGACCCAGTAACGTTCTCCTCAGGCAGGTTCCAGCTATCAACCACGTGTGTCCCTCCTCCCTTTGCATAAGCACCTGCACCTGCCAAATCCAGCTTTCCTCAACAGCTGTGATGCCGCAGGCGCCCGTGATGAGCGCACGCCAACCAAACCAGGCCGCCGTTTGCATAAAGATACCGACGTTTTCAATTTAAAAGAGCAAGCCCTGCCTAAACCCTCCCTTTTAAGAATCTTAAAATAGCTTAAGATCATGTACCAACCTTTAGAAAGTCCAGTGACCTGATCTACAACTTCAGTTTCCTTTTCCCCGTTTCCTCAATGCTTTCCTGCGGGTGTATTTTTCAATACTAACCAATAAAAGGAGGATTTTCATAACTCAAAAGGGACAAGGCGGTCTAAGGTCCGCGGTACAATCAAGGCGTCCTAACATCCATTTGGCATTACACCACCAGTTCAAAAACCCCAACCCGCTGAAAACTTAACTCCATTGAGGTGTCAAGCGAAATGTGCTATTTCAGAAGGTCAGCTACAGGTTCTCCACCTGTGCCTTCATTTCAAAAAAGCCACCAGCTGGTGTCATCAGCTCTCACTGGTGGTCAGACGCGATGTGCACTGGAAATCTCCTCCTCCCGCGCCTCTGAACACAGGACATAAGATGCCCACCGATCTGTTAAGAAAGCTTCGCGGGCGGGGCTGGAGAGCTGCGAGGACTCGCATTCAAACGGCCACAGGCTCTGCCTTCGCCTCCAGAGCGCCAAGCTGTGATTTCCACAGCCCGCGCCCCGCCGGCCCGCCGAGGGACACGTCGTCACCCCGCGTGCGGCCCGGCCGCGCTAGGATACTCTCCAAGCTCAGGCTGTCCCCGAACTCTCTGTTTGCCTTCGATCCGGCCGAAGGCCGCTCGTTTTCCTTGTTTTCTTCTCCTCCGGCACCGCGTCCGCCGCCGCTGCCGCCGCTGCCCCCGCCGCCGCCGCCAGGTACCTGTTTCTCAGCAGCCATCTTGCCCCGGTGCCGCGGAGCACGACGGGACGGAGGAGGCGTGGCGAGCGCGGCGGGAGAGAGCGGCCCTGCCGGGCGGAGGCTGATGGGATAGCGGCGGACTCCGCTCCCCGCCCCGGCGCTCTGGAGGCGGCCACTTGTCGGAGGGCGTCTCTGGGTGGGCTCGGATGAGTCTTTAAAATATGCTAACTGGAGGGGGAAAAAAGTAAAATAAATAAAAATAAAATTTGCTAACTGGAAGAAGCCCCACAGGAGGCTGTATATTGCATAGGTCCATTGATAGGCAATGTCCCGAATAGGCAATTCTATAGAGACAGAAAGTGGTGGTTGCCTCCGGCTGAGAGCGGGGGTAGAGATGGGAGACTTACGGCTAAAAGGGTAGATGTTTCTTTGCGGGGAAAGAAGACTGTTCCAAAATGGATTGTGGTGGTTGTAGAATTCTGTATGTAATAATTAAACAAATACACAAACACTTTAAATGGGTATAGTGCATGGTATGCGAAATATTTATATATTTCAATAAAAAATTTTTTGAAGTCAGTTAGATTGCAGAGGCTCCTCATCTTTCTCAGCCTAGAGGTAGAAGCAACCGCCCTCACTGTGGAAAAAGGGCCCACATGCTGTGCCTCTTCCCTCCTCTCCTGCCGATCTCCTTCCGTTCAGCACTCATTCCAGCCTCCTTGCGCAGGGACCCAGGCAGGTGCCTGCTGTGGGGCCGGCACTGGCTTCATCTGCTCTCTCCTAGGTATCTACTAATCTAGCTCTCTCACTTTGTTCAAGTCTCTTTTTTAAAATATATATTTTATTGATATTCTACAGAGAGGAATGGAGAGAGATAGTTAAAACATCGATGAGAGAGAAACATTGATCAGCTGCCTCCTGCACAGCCCCTACTGGAGTGCCCACAACCAAGGTACATGCCCTTGACTGGAATCGAACCTGGGACCGTTCAGTCTGCAGGCTGATGCTCTACCCACTGAGCCAAACCGGTTTTGGCCACGTCTCTTTTTTAATACAGATTTATTTATTTATTTGTTTGTTTGTTGTTTGTTTGTTTTTTACTGATTTCAGATGAAGGAAGAGGGAGAGAGAAATAGAAACATCATTGATGGGAGACCATCGTTGATCGGCTACCTCCTGCACGCCCCACACTGGGGATTGAGCCCAAACCCTGGCATGAGCCCTGACTGGGAATCGAACCGTGACCTTTTAGGAGACAATCACTGAACCCACAACCCAGGCCTGTGCCTTGGCCAGGAATGGAACTGTGGCCTCCTGGTTCCTAGGTTGATGCTCAACCACTGAGCAGGGGGAGGGACGGAACGCGCATAACTCGCTCACCTCCCTCTCCCCCCCACCCCCCCGCCAGAACTCGGAAGGACACCTGGGGGGGGGGGTGCGGGTCTGACCCCGGCATCTCCCCGCCCCCCTGGGTCCCCACGCGCTGCCCTCTCCCCTGGAGGAGCGGGCGAGCCCACATTCCACGTCTGCCTCCCAGACCCACGGAGGGAGCGCGGGCGGGTGGGTTCCGGAGCCTAACCCTAACCCTAACCCTAACCCTAACCCCTAACCCTAACCCTAACCCTAACCCTAACCCCTAACCCTAACCCTAACCCTAACCCTAACCCCTAACCCTAACCCTAACCCTAACCCTAACCCTAACCCTAACCCCTAACCCTAACCCTAACCCTAACCCTAACCCTAACCCTAACCCTACCCTCAGGAGACGCTCGCCTGGCGCTTCCAGCTGTCTCCTCCGGGCGCCGGGCCCGCCCTCCCCGGGCGGCGTCCTGGTGGGCAGCAGTCCCGGAGGAAAGAGCAGACGAGTGAGGGCTCTACGTGCGCCTTCCCTGCTGCCGGGTCTCCCCACATCCAGACGCTGCCCTCGGGGGTGCGCCATGACCGTGCACGGAGGACCGCCCCGGAGAGCGTGCGGGGCCCGCGGTGCAGAGGGCCCGGCCGGAGGCGCACATCCGGGCGCTCGGCTGACACCTTCCTTCCCGGGGTCCGGCCCGCAGGCACCTGGCCATCCGCTCCCGCTGCGCCCCCTGCGGCGCGGGGCCCGGGGCCGCGGGGCACGGCGGTGGCGGTGGTGGCGGCGCTGTCCGGCCTGTGCTGCCCGCGCCCCGCGCTCGTCCTCCGCGTGCGGGCCGGCCGCCTCCCGCTCACTTCGCCACCTTCGCGCTGCGCGTCCCCTCGCACCTGCTGGCTGGCGCCCCCGTCCCCCCGGCGGCCCGTCCTGGCGGGACCAGAAGGTCCCCGACGGCAGCCCAGCAGTTAATGGGACTTAGAGGGCACGCGTGTGGGTTCAAGGACTGGAGTCAGAGGGCGGGGAGCGGGTGGACGGTTTCCTCTGTTAATGAAATGCGCAAACCATTTCACGCGCAGTGCCACGCTGGCTGGAGGTTCTGCGCTAAGGAGTCTCCGGGCCCTGCCCAAACCGGTGTGGCTCAGTGGATAGAGCATCGGTCTGCAGACTGAAGGGTCCCAGGTTCGATTCCGGTCAAGGGCATGTACCTTGGTTGTGGGCACATCCCCAGTGGGGGCTGTACAGGAGGCAGCTGATCGATGATTCTCTCATGGATGTTTCTAGCTCTCTGTCCCTCTCCCTTCCTCTCTGTAAAAAAAAAAAAATCAATAAAATAGCCGAAGCCGGTTTGGCTCAATGGTAGAGCGTCGGTCTGCGGACTGAAGGGTCCCAGGTTCGATTCCGGTCAAGGGCATGTATCTTGGTTGTGGGCACATCCCCGGTAGGGGGTGTGCAAGAGGCAGCTGGTCGATGTTTCTCTCTCATCCATGTTTCTGGCTCTCTATCTCTCTCCCTTCCTCTCTGTGAAAGGTCAATAAAGTATATATATATTTTTTAAAAATCAATAAACTAAAATAAAAACAAGTCTCCGGGCCTTCACAGGGCGACTTTGGCTGATTGGGTGCGGGGATGCGCACTGAAGGCGGCGCAGTTAAAAACCCGCGTGGAAATCCCTGAACGCGCGAGGCTGGGGAGCGCGCCAGGAGAAGGCTCTGTGCACACGGCCATCTGGGAGCGCCGGGGCAGAGATCGGCGAACCCGCCGCCGCCCCGGCAGGTGGCCAAGCCCTCCGTCCAGGTCGAGGGATGACGGACGCAGACACTGTTCCTAGTAGCGTTCCTGCGCCATGTGTGGCGGGGCCTCTGCTGCTCCCAGCTCCCGGGGCCCTTTGGGGGTCTCGGCAGCCCTCTCCGTCCGGCAGACCGTAAGCCGTGGGGTTCCTCCCGAGCTGCAGCTGGCTGGGCCCAGGTCTCCAACAGCTCGGTTCTTCTTTGGGACAGGAAAGTCGTCCCCCCTCGGGTTCTGGTTGGGGACACACCGGTGGCTCTGAGGCCCTGCTGCCTGGCTCAGGCTGAGAATCTGGTCCGCGAACAGGACCGCCCTGGCGCTTTGCTCTTGAACTAGCCCCGCCTGTCCCCGTTCCCGCTCCGGGAGTCCTCGGGCCACGGCTTTCCACGTGAGGCCGGTGCAGTGTGGAAGGAGAGGCAGGGCACTCTCAGAGGCTGTGCCATCTCACGACGTGGGGTGCAGGGCACTGGGAGTTTTCAGCCAGGCGGGCACTGCCACGGAAGGCACCTGCCTAGACCGGAGGGACCGAGGCAGGGTGCGGACGGAGCGGCTCTGTGCGGCCGGGCCTACTTTGCTGGCCGTGAACTGGCAAGTGGCTCCAGGTGGTGGAAGTGGAGCGGGACAGGCAGCGAGGGCCAGGCAGGTGCAGGGTGGCGGGCAGGGCCCTGGGCTTTGTCTCCGGTGTTTGCAGAGCCCAGGGTGGGGTGGGGGGGCCAGGCCCAGGGCTCCAGGGTCATTGCGCAGAGCAGCTGCCTTGACCAACGGCTCAGTCCCCAGAGAAAAGCCTGAGACAGAGGTGCAGCCTGGGCACTGCTGCCCACCTCCCTCCGCAGCCCCGATGGCGGCCCCGCGGCTCCTGCTCCCTCTCCTGCTCGGACTTGGCGCCACGAGGCCCTCGGTCCCGGGCCGCAGCCTCCGTGCACCAGCGGTTGGTAGGTGAAGGGCGCAAGGTCAGGGGTTTTGGGATTTGGGCCCAACGTCCCAGGTGACCTTGACCTCCACCCCTCAGCCTGGCCGCCCTCAGGCCTTAATTCACCCCTGGAGGTTCACGAAGGCACCCAGATCCCCAGCAACGGGAGCGCGCCCCTGCTCCTGGCTGTGCAGGTGTTCGTGACAAACGTGTTCAACGTGGTGAGTGTCCTCGGCCAAGGAGGGCGGGCCGTGCCGAGCGGGCATGGGACGGGACCCAGACTCCGGAGTGCGGCGCCTTCTGCCCTCCCATGTCATGTGGCAGCGGCCTCGGGTGACGCCTGCCCCCTCCCCAGGACATCCTTCGGTACACGGTGTCCTCCATGCTGCTGCTTCGCCTGGTGAGAGCCCGGGGGGTGGGGCAGAACCCGCTCCGAGTCCAGCTCAGAAGTGCCACCTTCACCCTGCCAAGCCCAGAGGCAGGTACAGAGCCTGGGCCTTAGCGGGTCCTTGTGTCCCCAGTCCTGGCTGGACACACGCCTGGCCCGGAACGCGAGCGTGCACCCGCGACACGTGCGCACCCTGCCCTGGGACTCCCTGTGGACGCCGGGCCTCACCATCCAGGAGGCGTGAGTTCCCGTCCCAGGAACCACTGCCCGTCCCTGTCTCCACCCCCCGCCCCCGCCAGGCCCTCAGTGAATGCCCCTCCTGGCGGCCCTGGCACGCCGCCTCCTCTTGGAACCCTGAGGGCAGGGGGCGGCAGAGGGCGCTGGGGCTCCGGCTGTGGTGCCTCTGCCCGCAGGCTCTGGGTGGACTGGCAGGACCCGAGTCCACGGGCCCAAGTGGACCAAGATGGCCATGTGGAGCTCTACCTGACCCTCACCACGGAGACCAACTGTGACTTCGAGCTCCTCCACTTCCCCAGAGACCAGAGCAACTGCACCCTCAGCTTCTACGCCTTCAGCAACAGCGGTGCCGGCCTCGGGGGCGGCTGGATAGCGGGCCCGTGTCCACACCACCTGCCCCGGCCCAGGGGAGCTGAACATGCTTCCCACCCTCACCTCCCACCCAGGCAGCAGCCCGTGGCCCCGTGCTCCCCGCGGTCCCACTTCAGTCTCCCGCTCCGCCTCAGCTAGAAAAGCAATTGCCTACAGCCGGGCCAAGCTGCAGCGGCTGGGCCACCGTCAGCTCAGGCTGCCGCGGCCTCGCTCCTGGAGACATCCTGAAAGTGTAGCCACCAGCGTGGCAGAAGGCCCACCCTTCCCTGACACCCATCCCCCCCCCCGCCCCCCGGGAAATGCCACAGCACCCGCCCGGGAACCCTAGAATCTCAGGTGTGAGATGAGACACTGGTGGGTGACTCTGCAACGGCGCCCCCTCCAGGAAGTGGCGCCAAGTGCATTTATTTTTACAATGAAAATCAGTCTGAGTCTGAAAAGCCCTTCCTCTGGAGAAAACTGGAAGGGTTTGTGGGGGGAATAAGGTTGGGAAAGCCCTTGCATGGACTAGTGCCACCTCCAAGTCTGCCCAGCAGCCACCGGAAGTCCCCACCACCCGGGCGCCGGCTTGTGCCTGCACCTGCTCCCAGGAGACGGGGGGCAGCCGTAGTCCTCAGCTCACTGCTCTCCCCTCCCTCCCTCCCCCAGCGACGGAGCTGGAGTTCCGGCCCCACGTGGTGAATGAGATCGTGAGCGTCAAGAGGGAGTATGTAGTTCGGGATCTGAAAAGCCAAGTCCCGCCCCGGCAGCTGGTGCCCTGCTTCCGGGTGTCGGTGAGTCCGCAGGTGCTGGTGAGGGCGGCAGGGGATAAAGGATGCAGAGCCAGAGGCATGACATCGCCCTCTAGTGCCCACTCCTGCACACGCCCCCAAAGCCCCACCTATCCTTCCAGCTGCACCTCCAGAACACAGCGCTGAAGGCCATCCTGGCGCTGCTGGTCCCCGGGGAGGCGCTGCTGCTGGCGGACCTGTGCGGGGGGCTGCTGCCCCTGCAGGCTGCCGAGCGCACGGCCTTCAAGGTGACGCTGCTGCTGGGCTACCTCGTCTTCCACTCCTCCCTGGTGCAGGCCCTGCCCAGCTCCTCCTCCTGCAACCCGCTGCTCAGTAAGCCCGTGCCCCTCGGCCTCTGCCCGCTCCCTGGCACTGCAGGCACAGGCTGGCCCCTGACCGGCCCCCTCTCCCCAGTTCACTACTTCACCGTCCAGCTGCTGCTGCTCTTCGCCAGCACCATGGAGACGGTGCTGCTGGCCGCGCTGCTGGCCCGGGACCACCGGAGGGCCAAACGCAGCCCCGGCCCAGCCCCGCGAGGGGAGCAGCGAGCTCCTGAGGACGCAGGGCCTAGTCCCGAAGGTGGGTGAGGGAGGCAGCCGGGAGCAGGTTCGATGGGGCTGAGCTGGGGGTGGGGTCGAGGTCGCTGGACTAGAGGCCCTGGCACTCACTCTGCCGGCCGTCCCTGAGCTTCACGTCGGCCCTGGCAGCAGCAGCCTGAGCAGGGAGCGAGGCGAGCCTCCCCGAAGGCCTGGTGACTGCGCTCCGAGAGGTGACCCTGAGCCTCTCTACAAGGGTCAACTCGAGGGGCCTGGAGAGGCCAGCCACCCCCTGGGCATCTACGGGAGGGAGAGGCCTGCTGCCAGCGTCTGGGCTCCTACTCGGAGGGGTGGGGCGAGCCCCGGAGTGCAGCCCCTGCCCCTGCCGTCCCACAGGGGCCGCCGGAGGAGCGGGGTCATGGAGGAGCAGGGCCGAGGCTGCCGACCACGCCTTCTTCCTGCTCTACGTGGCGGGGGTGGTGTGCAGCCAGCTCGTCTTCATTGGGCTCTGGACGTGGGCGACGTGCAAATCTGACCCAGCCCCTGGCGAGGCCGTACCCCACGGGGGGCAGCCGCGGCTGTATCAGGGCAGGGCAGGGGGTGCAGACCTGGGGTGGGCCTGACAGGGCCTCTGGAGACAGGATGAGGCCACCTCTTCCCTAAGCCTGGGGGCCCCCGGGCCCCCCTGAGCTCTCCCTGCTGTGAGCACACAGCAGTGAGTGTGAAATAAACCCATCACCCAAGTGCAAGTGCCCCCAAGTGTCTGCTTCCATTGAGCTGGGTGTTCGCTCTTGTCCTATGTGGGTGGCCCCACTCCATTCCTGAGCTTCTCACCAGTGGCCACCAGTCACCCCGCCCCCGCCCCCCCCTGCTCCTTCTGTGACACCCGCTGCTTGGCCTGGCCAGGAGGCTGGGGGCCAGGATGCAGGGCCCTGAGGGTCAGGTGCCTGGGGTGGTCAGAACTCCTGAGTGCTGAGGTGTGGGCCCAGAGGGACGGGGGAGAGGGCCTCCTGGGCACGCAGCCCTCGGACGTGGGCGATGGGGCACGTGCTGGCGCGGACTCTGAGCAGGTGAGCTTGCTGGGTTTGCTCGGGGCCCTCTGCGGCCACGTGGCCGGTGCCTCCACATGCCCGAGCTGAAGGGGGCACCCTCCCTCCCGCTGCGAACGGGCTGGCGGGGGGGGGGTTCTGCGTCCTGCTTGTGCTCACAAGGAGCGTGGGCGAGGCCTCTGCCTTCCTGTCCTCCCCCGTCTCGAAGCCCTCACAGGCCCTGCTGGCTGCGGGCAGGGACACAGCCAGGTGCCAGTTTGGTGGAGAATGGGGGTGGCGGGGGAGGGCGTGGGGAGAGGCACAAACCAGGACTCCCGGGCCCAGGGCCAGGGCTCCCGGCCCAGGCAGTGAAGCAACGTCGGTCCCAAAGGACACCACTCGCCGGCTGAGGCAGGTTCACACGGTTTATGTCCAACACCACGCTGCCGGGGCCCGGGCGGGAGCGCAGGCTCAGGCGGAGGTGTCGAAGAGGCGGTCGATCATGTCGCCCACCTGCTCCACGTGGTACTTGATGTACTTCTCAGGGTTCTTGGTGAAGGGCACGTTGGCGTACCTGCCGGGCACCGAGGTCAGCGGGAGGCCTGCCCTCCTCCCTGTCCTTCCCCGTGGGGCGTCCCAGGGCGCCTTCCTGAGGCAGAGCCTGGCCGCCGGGGGCGCGGGGCGGCTCACCTGTGCAGAAAGGCCCCGTAGGTCTCCTTGACGATGCGCTTCTGAGCCTGGCGGATCTTGTCCCTCTGCTCCGTGTCGGGGATAGCCCAGGCTTTCTGGATCTTGCACAATTCCTCCAGGCCGTCATTGAAGCCCTGTCGCCACAGCGGGAAGAGAAGGGCCCGAGACACACGTCTGGGGGTGTCGCTCCCGCAGCAGCAGCAGCAGCAGGGAAGGGACAGGCTCCCAACTCACCTTAAACCGCTCCTTGATCACCTGCCGCTCCTTGTCCCGGAGCTGGGGGCCGAGACAGCTCTGCTCAGAGAGGCGCCTGCCCCCTCCCCCAGCCCGAGCCCCGCCTGCTCCTGTCCATTCCTCCCAGAGACATGGCAGACAGGACAGCACCTGCCAGACCCCCTCCCAGCCCAGGCGCTCAGCCCACCTTGACTCCCGGCTGGAACACGGGCAGGTTCTTCTCGGCGATGTAGTCGGTCACCTTTAGCCAGCTGCGGGGAGAGGGAGAGGGCGCCTCAGGCAGCTGCTCCCGGGCGGTTTGCTGTGTGTGTGTGTTACTGTTCTCTCTGGATCTACGTGTGTGTGTGTGTGTGTGTGTGTGTGTGTGTTTGTGTGTGTGTAGGGAGGGCAGGAGTCCATTTGGGTCACAACTAAGTGAAACACAACTACTGTTTCTCCTGGGGAACAGAGGGGTGGAGATGCTCGCTTTTAGAACTGGAGCAGGAAACAGAGCAGTCAGTAAACTGAACAAACGCTGGTACCATCAACTGGCTGCACAGCGGCCTCTGGGCAGGAGGGAAGGAGGCGGAGTCCTGGGAAGGGAGTGGGAGACACCTCCAGGGGAAGGACACAGAGGGACACACAAACCCACAGCAGGAGAGCGAGCGATGCTTGGCCAAGGTCAAGCACTCTCGCAGCCTGCTCTTCGCCGGGGCCAAACACTGCCCACACTTTGTCGTCAGCCCTTCAACTACACTCAGCCTCACCCTACACTCAGCTCGTCTTCATTGGGCTCTGGACGTGGGCGACGTGCAAATCTGACCCAGCCCCTGGCGAGGCCGTACCCCTCGGGGGGCAGCCGCGGCTGTATCAGGGTGGGCCTCGTAGGCAGGCAGACTGCCCCTGCAGAGGCTGGCACCGAGGCCCCTAGGGAGCCAGCAGTGGGGGGGAGGGTCCCATTGACACCCCGTGATTTTGACTACAACACAGGAGGATTGGGTCCACAGGCAACAGTCCCGTTACTGCCCCTCCGACCAGGCCCACTCCGAGACTGAGAGGGAGCCGAGTGGCGGTGCGGGGGTGAGCGGGCAGCCTCGCACCTGCGCTGGTACGTCTGGATCTGCTGCTCGATGTGCTCCCGGTAGGAGCGCTCGGCAGTCTTCTGCGTCACGGCCACCAGCTGGATCAGCTCCGACCTGGGGGTGGGGGCAGGGGACAGAGTAGAGGGGACGGGATTGGCTGGGGGCCTGGGCAGACTGCCCTCCCCGCCACCCTCAAGAGCTCTAAGAGGGTAGCACGCACGCCCCTGGTGGGCAGCGGGGAGGAAAGCCCTTCTCCCACCGGACACCGGAGGCACGGCCAGCCCCGGCACCTACTTCTCCAGAGCCTTGAGGATGTAGTTGTAGTTGTTGTGCAGGAAGATGGCGCTCAGAGCTGGGTCCTCGTACACCTTGGACTTGCTCAGCAAGTTCAGCTGCAGGTTACCCAGGACTTTACCTGCACGGAGAAAGGGGTGGCCATGCCCACGGGGCAGTTTGGCCCAAACCACCCAATCCCAGGCCCCACAAACCAAGTCCTGCCGTCACTCCTGTCCCTCCCTGACTCCAGGGCCACCAACCTCAGGAGCCCTAGGGCCAGCCCCTCCCCCTGAACCAGAGGTCAGGCTGTGATTCCAGGGCTGGGGCTCAGGAGCGCCAGGAATAGCAGGAGAGCACAGAGGCTGCTGGGCTGAGCAGGGATGGGGCGGGGCTGAGCAGGGATGGGGCGGGGCTGAGCAGGGATGGGGCGGGGCTGAGCAGGGATGGGGCGGGGCTGAGCAGGGATGGGGCGGGGCTGAGCAGATGGGGCGGGGCTGAGCAGGGAGGGGGCGGGGCTGCCGCCGCTGCAGACTCACAGATGTAAGTGCTCAGGAGGCGCCTGCTGAACTCGGAGCTGTAGCTGGTGGCTGAGGAGCTGGTCTCTGAGAGAGAGAGGTTGGGCTATGGCATCGGCGGCAGCTGGACCCCTTTTGGCCTCCCTCAGCCCCCGGGGCAGCTAAGGGCCGGTGGGCGGGGCCTCTGAGCCTGCCTGCTCTGGCTGCTGGGACAGAGGGCGCTAGGGCAGAGCTGGTGTCCGCAGGCTCAGGGCTCCGCCTGCTGCATGGAGCACTGCCTCGGACTGTCTCTGGAGCCCGGGCAAGCCCCTCTGTGGTGCCAGAGTGGGCACAATCAGCAGGAAAGCTGGCAGGACCTCCAGCCCCGCCCCCTGCTGGGTGGCATCATGGCCACCTATCCCATCTGTCAGCATGGAAGCCAGAAAGGACTCCATGGCCGCCCCTTCCCCATGTCCCACCTCCTCTACGGTGCTCTGCAGAGGGGACCTGCCCACACAGATTAGGGGCTAAGAGGGGTGAGGGCAAGCGGGCAGCTGGGGGGCTAGGCTGGAGGGTGGCCCAGCGTGCTGGGGTCAGCAGGACGCTGCCTGGACCACCTCAGAGACAAAGTGGCCGGAGGAAGCTGCGAGAGCGGGATGCACCCTGAAGGGACCAGGTGCCCTCTGACCCCCACTCCCCAATAGGTCCTGCGTCTGCCAGGGGCCTCTGTCCCCAGGGAACCTCTCACGGGCCGCTTACCTCGGGGGTCTAAAGGAATATTGTATGTGTCCCCAAGAACTACGGAGTGCAAGGCAGTGCGACAGGGGAGGAGGGAGACAAAGACGGGAGAGAGATGCAAAGTGCAAAAACAGGTTAGAAACAGCCGTGTCACCCCATCAAGCAGACCGCTCCCCACGACAGCCAGGACAGACAGCAGGACACACCCCAGGGACCAGAGAGCACGCAGCAAAGTGGAGGCCAAGAGCCAAGGCCGAGGCTGCCCCTGCCCCGCGCCCTCCGATGGGGCAGCAGTTAGGGCCGGGCCCAGACGCGCCGGGCTGGGTCTCAGTGCTAGAACGGCTGGAAACGCATGTTCCCTCCTGTGCCAACCTCAGGAAGGTGCCAGGCTGGCCCCGAGGTGCCAGCCTCCCAGTGGCCACGGTGTGAGGCCATTAGGGGACAGGCGAGCACAAGAGAAGATGGGAAACGTGGACGAGGGCGGGAGCAAACACAAGCGTGCTCTCAGAGGGAGCCTGGGGCAGAGGCCGGCGCAAAGGCCGTCAAACCCCCTCGGCCCTCTGAGCCCAGCCCTGAGGGCCCGGCCAGCTCAGGGTCCTCACCCCACTTCTCCAGGCGAGGAGGAGGAGGGGGGCACGGGGCGGGGGGCCCCGCTGGGAGGTGCCAAGTACCTTGGGAGGCCAGCATGGCACCTGCTGTCTCCTGGAAGTCCAGCAGCTGCTGCAGGAAAAGGATGGCCTGTGCGGGGAATGGCAGGAGGTCAGGGGGGACCCAGAGGTCAGGTCACTCCCACAGCACATCCTGGGAGACGGGCAAGTTCAGGGCCGGGTCTAAGCACTTAGAGGTCCTGGTGGCACCCCCCCCCCACCCCCCCCCGGACCCAGGCAGCACCTACGTTGCTGGTGAGCTCGTGCACGGTGCCGTCCTTGGGCATGTTGTACTCCTTGTCCGGGTCATTCTGCGGACACAGCCACTCGCTGGAAGAGCCCCCAAGGAGGCCCCAACCCATCCACGCCCCTCAGCCTGCTCCTGGCGCCACCTCTTGGCGGACAGGTGTCAGGACACCCCTTAAGGCACAAAGGGGAGCAAGATGCACATGCAGAAAACGGGCAGGAGCCTCAGCCCGGAGCGCCCAGAGGGAGGCAATGGGTGCTGACAGGATCAACCCTCCCGCAGGCCTGGCCCGCGGAGTCTGCGCCCGGAGCGGAAGGAGCGGGTCACCTTGATGTTGTCGGCGAAGTCCTCGAGCGCTTTGGCCCCTACGGTCTCCATGGAGGTGATGAGGCCGGGCAGCTTGTTCTTGGTGCTGGCAGCTGTTCCCTGAGGGCAGAGCGGCACGGCTGCCCCTGTCCCCGCCGCGGGCAGGCCACCCCTTCCTTCCAGCTGCTCCCCCGCCCCTCCCCTGCCCCTCCCCAGGGGATGCTCCTTCAGCGGAGCAGGCGCGTGGGCAGAGGCGTGGCGGACCCTCCCGACGTCCCCCAGCACCGCGCCACCGCGTACCTGCAGCACCTGGTCAAACTCGGGCTTGGTCTGCTTGAGGTGCCGCAGGATGGGGAAGATGGCGAGCACCGCCGAGAAGTCGTGCCTGACGATGGCCTTCCGGGCCGCGGACACGATGTTCTCCCCCTCGAACATCAGCCCCTCCAGTGCGTCCTGAGGGCGAGGCCGCGGCTCAGGGGGCGGAGGTGAGAGCACCCGGAGGGGTGAGGGCACCCGAGGGTGAGGGAGCCAGTGTGCCTCTGGGGAGGTGGCAGCAGGCACACCGCCGGGACGGATCCCCGGGGCGCGGGGGGAGGAGGTGGCTGCATTAGAGGCCACAGGCCACCGGCACAGCCCACGCTGCGGGACAGCTCTGAAGGCCGGCCTGGGGGGCAGCACCTGGATCAGGGAGTCGAAGGTCTTCTTCTGATGGTGCTCGGGGATGACCTCCACCAGCAGCTGGTACTCGCTCTGCGCCAGCTTCACGAAGGCGCTGACGCAGTGGATGTAGGCGTCCGTCTCCACGTCCAGCATGTCGTCTCTCCCTGCGGACGGCGCTGCACTGAGCCGCGGGGCTGGGGACAGCCCTCCCCTGCTGCGGGCGAGGGCCCCCCAGCTCCAGGCCGGGGGTCCGGACTGGCCCCAGAGGGGGAGGAGGGAGACTGTGCAGGCAGAGAGCTGAGGATGCCTGCAGGCTCCAGGGGCTGACGGGGAAATGGCTGGGCCCAGCCTTTATCCTGGCTTCCTTCACCCTGAGCTCTGCCAATGGGCGGGACTTATGACCTGGAGTGCCAGGGACCAGAAGTGAGGTGACAGATAAAAGGGGAGGAGGGGGATTCTTAAGTGGACTCCTTGGAGAGGACATGGCCCCAGGATCGAGGAGCAGGACTGTAAGGAAAGAGGGCAGCTGGGGGGCAGGTGGCAGCGTCCACCAAGGAGACAGCCATCTCAGAAACACTGCGCTAGAGGGCGGGAGCCAGGCCTGCCAGGGTTCGGACCCCGCGGAAGGCCGAGGCTGCGGCCTGAGGGCCAGCTGGCACGGGTTAAAGCTGAAGAGGCTGAGTGAGCCCCAGAGAGCAGGGCCCTTGGCTAGCAGCTGCCCAGGAGGCTGGATCCTCTGCCGAGGCTGGGGCAGGGCCTAGTCCTATGCGCCCGGGGCTGGGCTCCCAGGAGCCCGAGCTGTTGGTGAAGCCGATGGCGGGCTCCCTGCCGGCCAGGGCACCACCTCCCTCTCGGCCTGCCTTCCCAGGAGCGGCCGCTTCTCCCCGCGGCCGGGCCCTGAGCCAGCTGCACTCCCAGCTGCAGGGAGGCAAGGAGACCTCGCGCCCGAAGGAGAGAGAGACGGAAGGAGAGAGCGACAGGTGCGGCCCGTCCTCCGGGCCCTCCGGTGCCGGCTGCCCGCGGCTGGGCGGGCTGGTACTCACCGGCCAGCGGCCCGTGCTTGTCGTTCAGGGCCTCGGACAGGTGCTTAACTCGGAAATCATGCTCGTGACCTAGCGAGACGTCGGCCGCACAAACACAAGCAGCGTTTATCCAGGGGCCGGGGGCTGGCCCTCCATCTCCGGGAGGGGTGTGAGGGGGATGTGGGGAGGGCGTTGGAGGGCGCTCTGAGCCCCTCCTCTGCCGGGGCCTCTCTGGGAACAGCCGTTTCAAGCCTGACCGGCAGCGCCGGGCCATCCCCGGAGCTGGTCTCCCCGCGCCCAGAGGCCGAGGAGAGATGGGGGGCTTCCGGCAGCCACGGGGCGGCTGATGCCGGGCCCCAGGGGTTATCTCGCCGGCCATGGGGGAGACCAGTTAGAGAAATGTCTGCGAGGGAGTGGGGACAGCCTTCTTCTTGTGCCCAGCTCATTCTTACGGAGGGCCAGGGCTCTGGGAGGGGGGCTGTCCTTCCTGATGTGAGATAGGGATGAGGCCGACCAGCTGCCTGTCCCCTCGCTGCACCCCCGCCCTTGTAAAGTTGGGGTGACCAGGAGGCCCAGGCCAGCTGGGTCCTGCTACCGCTGATCTCAGCGTGAAAGGGCTGCCCGCGGCTAAGCAAACAGGAGACAAGGACAGACAGGGAGGGGGGGGGGGAGCCCCAGGGAGGGCAGAGCTGCGTCAGCCAGGCAGGACCAGGCCGAGGCCACGAAACCTGTCCCTGCGCCCGCTGGAGCGAGTGGCACAGGGACGGGCAGCCCCACCCGTGCCTCTCAGGGTGCCCCCCGGGGCCCTCCTGGGGCTGGAGGCTCTGCCCTGCCGGGAGTCACACACGACGGAGGAGGAGGAGGGGGGACGGGAGAGGAACACGGTGATTACCTTCCAGAGGAATGAGGTTAGAGCCCCCCTTTTTCCCATCTAGACCATGCTGGGAATACTGTTTCAGAAGGTTCTGAGCCTTCCGGATCGTCCCTGTCACCAGAGCCACAGAGAGGAGATAAGAAGACCTAGGAAATGAGTGAGAGAAAACAGCGGCGGCCTCCGCGCCCAGACCCGCCTCCCACAGCGGCCTCCACGCCCGCCCCGCGCCCGGCCCCACGTGAGCAGCCCAGACCCCTCCCCATCAGGCCTTCCCGGGCCCCTGGAGACATTCCCGGGCCTCCCTCCCGATCCTCGGTTCTGGCCTGAGCTCAGTGGAGGGCGAGGCGGGCGGAGGAGACGAGGCGGGCAAAGACCCGCCAGAGGAGCCCCAGTGAAAGGAGCTCGGGAGTCTGAACGGGTGGGGCTCGAGCTCTCACACCTGAGTGACCACCACCCCGGACAGAGCCGGGCCTGGAGGCTGGCAGGCCTGCGCCCCGCAAGCGCCAGGCACAGCTCTCTGGGCATGCTCAGTGCGGGCAGGAGCCCGGCAGCTGTCAGGAAGCAGCACGGGAGCTGGTGAGGCGGGAAGGAGGCCGGGGAGGGAGGGCCAGTGCGAAGGCCCGAGGCCCCCTGGCCCACACACCCTCATCCAAACCACCAAAGCCCCCGAAAGCTCACGGGCGAGGGGGGTTACAGCCTCACGGAGAGCCAGGCAGGGCCGGAGGAAAGGGCGCTTGCTCTCGGCCCGGGGAAAACAACAGTCAGTGCCACAAGTCAGACAAGGAACACAAAACAGAGCGCCCGGCCTTGGGTCGGCCACTGGGGAACGAGACCCCGCAGGGCGGGGCACGTGGAGGTAAAGCAGCATCTCCCGCAGCGAGCACCGCGGCGCTGCCCTCTGCCCGAGCCGCGGCCCGGCCCCCGCATCTCCCGCACAGCCGTCTGCCGAGTCCCGGCTGCGCCCCAGAGGAGCTGGGGTGAGGAGGCGAGGCGGCTCATTTCCTCCTGTCGCACCACGCCATCAGCTCTAATAACACGGCCCGGCTCAGCCTGCCTCCGATGCAGCGGCGGCCGCTAACGAGCACATCGCACTCCTGCCCGCCGGGCCTCCGGGCGCAGCCAGCACGGCCATGGTGTGCCGTGGGGCTGCCGGTGGCAGCTGCCAAGACCATCAGGCACCCAACGACCGTGGACAGCGCTGAGGCTGGCGCTTCACGGCCACCCACCTTCTCCCTGCTCCTCTCCCCACCAGGGACGGACGTCCCAAGGCCCGATTCCCTGGTCCTGAGGCCAGTCCGAGCCCACCAGCTCCTGACAACTCTCGAACCCCCACAGGAACATGGGGTCCTCCCAGCTAGTTCCCCTCTTGGGTCTACAAGCCAAGCAGGGATTCGGTCCGTGGTGAGCCCCTCCTCCCGCGCGGCCAGCCAGCACCCGGGGCAGAGCACATGGGGTCCCAGGGCCTCCCGGGCCGTCAGAGACGGAGGGGAACGGAGCACAGACCGCTGGCCCGGGCGGCCTCCCAGCACACAGAGGCAGAGAGGGATGGGACGGCCCGTGCGGCAGCCGCAGCCTCGGCCCGCCCAGCCCGCGGCTTAGCGGAGGCACTGGTTTTCTGGGGGAGCAGCCAGGGCCCCCACACTGGAGGGGAGAAGGCACTACCTTCCTTCCAGGCCCCCAGCTTCCCTAATACTCGCCTGGCTGTGCCCCCAGGGCAGTTACTGCTCAGCCACATTTCCAAACCCTGAGGGGTGCACAGACCCTCCGAGGGGCAGGCAGGCAGGGCCGGACGAGGGAGGGTAAGCTCTGCCCCCAGCCCGTCACCAGGGCAGGCCCTGCAGGCCACCCGGGGGCAGAGCCTGCAGCGTGAGCCCAGGCTGCCAGGCTGCGGTCACACAGGGCAGTTCACCTGCCCAGACTGTGGGCACAGGCTGACAGGGACAAGGACAGAGAGCTGCTCAGCCGGGACACCAACAACCCAGGGCCCAGCCTCGCCCTCAGCACCCTCCCTCCACGGCCGGCCGCAAGGCACCCACTCCCAGTGCGGCCCTCACCTCCGAGAGGGAGGGCGAGGGTTTTCCCTCCGGGCCGACTGTGACAGGAGCAAGTCTCCACCCACTTCTCAGCCACGTGCACTTCCAGCCCTGGCTTGCTGGGCGGGGAAGGCTGCCCATCCATCCCCTGATTTTGGCAGAGACCCCAGCCGGGCCTCCCGGAGGGACAACAGGGGAGGAGCAGGGGCCCCCGGGGACTGGGCCCTGGCACCCCATTCCCCTGCCTCCCCTCCCCTCTGACGCCCCTCCCTCCTCCAAAGACATGTTTGCAGCCGCCAAGCCCTGTGAGAGCAGGAAGAGCCTTCTCGGTGGGGCCTTGCTGGGGGCAGACACTTGCTTTCTGTCCTGTCTGCAGCTGGAAGGGCCGAAAGCAATGCAGGTCCCACCCCTTCCGGCTGGTGCTTAGAGGGCCAGCGTGGGGCTCACCTGGCCGCTTGATGGGCTTCTTGGTGGGCGTGTCTTTCCTCTTGTTGGGGATGGCAGGGGAGTAGGGGACCCCGGAGACAGAACTGTTCTTCCGGAAGTGCTCCCTCAGGCCCTTGATGGAACGGTCCAGCTGGCTGGAGCGGATCTGGTAGTAGACGTTCATGAAATCTACGGAGAGATGTGCAACGGGCCCGTGGCAGCTGGTCCCAGGTTCCCCTGCAGAACAGCTCTGCAGGCGGCGGGTGCCCACTACTGCCACCTGCTAACCGCTCCTAGCACCCGCTCGGGCTCACAGCCGCCCACAGGGCCTTGCCCCCCATCAGGCAGTCTTTAAAGGGAAAGTATCTCCCAACAGAACTGATTTTTTTTTAAAGTTCAGAAGCTAAGTGTTTTCAGATAAAAAATATAAAGATTAGGTGAGGAGTCAAAGGATGTAATTTATAGGAGGCAAAGAGACAACCAATGTCAGTGAATGAAAAAAACACTATTATCTGCCAAAACCAGTTTGGCTCAGTGGATAGAGCGTCGGCCTGCAGACTGAAAGGTCCCGGGTTCGATTCCGGTCAAGGGCATGTACCTTGATTGTGGGCACATCCTCAGTAGGGGGTGTGCAAGAGGCAGCTGATCGATGATTCTCTCTCATTGATGTTTCTAACTCTCTATCCCTCTCTCTTCCTCTCTGTAAAAAATCAATAAAATATTTTTTTAAAAAAGAAAAAAACACTATTATCTTTAACCATTATACAATGATTTCATTAATTTTTATTGATCTGAGAGAAGCATGGATGTGAAAGAGAAACATCGATTTGTTGCCTCCTGTACACACCCTGACTGGGGACTGAACCCATTACCTAGGAATGTGCTCTGACTGGGAATCCATCCCACAACCTTTTGGTGTGCGGGACGATGCTCCAACCCACTGAGCCACCCGGCCATGGCTAACCTTTTTATGAAAAACAAAAAGCCCGCCCATCCCCCCGGCTCTCACCTTGGTTGCGGCCGTACTCCACCAGCCAGCGGGAGATGCGGACCACGTCCAGGAGCACGCCCTCCGGCAGGTGCTCCAGGGGCACCTCCTCCTGGATCTCCAGCTCCTCCTCCCCGCTGATGAGGTCCAGGATGAGCACCGGGGAGACCACCTTACTGTGCCGGGTCATCAGGCTGCGGAACTCGGACTCCAGAGACTCCTTCCCCCGCTCGAACAGCAGCTTCTGCAGGGGCGGAGGGGGGGGGGGCGCTGCTGCTGCTGCTGCTGCTGCGGAATTCGGCTGGCCCTCCCCTGCCTTCCCCTGCCTGCACTTCCTGAACCCAGAGGAGAAAGGCAGGAAGCCTTCCTCGGTCATCCCTTCCGCTCGGGTTCGCTAACTGGACGCTCAGGTGAAACCCGGGCTTCACGAACACTGGCTGATTACCTCCTCACTGACTACCAATCTGTCTTCTCGTTAGAAAGGGCTTTGCAAGGAAGGAAAGAGATTAATCGAACTGTCACATTAAAAACTTCTGTGCTGTAAATGATACCATAAAAAAAAAAAGCGAAAAAACCCGCAGAATGAGAGAAATTATTTGCAAATCATGTATCTGACAAGGGACAGGTATCCAGAACATGTAAGAGAACTGGAAACATGTTCATACAAAATCATGAAATATAATACATCAGACTGAGAAAGATAAATACCGAATGGTTTCACTTATATGTGGAATCTAAAAAACAAAGTAAACGAACAAACAAAACAGAAGTAAACTCACAGGCGCGGACAACAAATTGGTAGTCGCCAGATGGGAGGGGAGTTGGAGGGACAGGTGAGAAAGGTTAGGGATTACCAAGAACAAATTGGTAATTATTAAAACAGGCACAGGGGTGTAAAGTGAAGCATAGGGAATATAATCAATAACATTGTAATAACTATATATGGTGGCAAGTCGCTACTACACTATAAGGGTGATCACTTCATAAGACACGTAAATTTCTAGTCACTACACTGGAAACTAAAAATATTCCATGTCAACTGTAATATAAATTTTAAATGAAAATAGTTAAATTGATAAGTTTTATATTATGTATTTTTACCACAATAAGAAAACGCCAAGAGCATTTGTAAAAATCAAAACATTAAATTTATATTGCATAAGTAATGGCTGCAGGCTCAATCCCCAGTAGGGGGCGTGCAGGAGGCAACCGATCAATGATTCTCTCTCATCATGGATGTTTTTCTCTCCCTCTTCCTCTCCCTTCTTCTATAAAGTCAATAAAATATATATATTTATATATATATATATATCTCTGTGATTGCTGAGGCAGAGTTCTTCAGGACTACAGTATGTGACTATTCTAGATGCTTCTGTTTATTCTACTACAGCCTCCCTTAAGCTGGCTCAGTCTCCCATGAGACCAGGGCAGGGACCGATGCCCCCACACCTCTGCCATGACGCTGCTGGCCCCTCACCACTTTGTTGAGCTCCGGGCTGTCTGGGCTGTTGTCCTGGAAATACTCCACCGCCTTCTGAATCTTGGCCATGCTTCCCAGGTACTCTTCCAGCCGGCCTGTGGGGCTGGAAGGAACAGAGCTGTCAGCCCGGCCGGAGGGAAGAGGAAGAGGAGGACCCGTTTGGAAGGGAAAAGGAGAGAATTGATATAGGGGACTCCAGGCACCAATATATCCTACTCCCTTCCCCTTCTACGCCGCTGGTCCAAGAGGCATCAAGAATGTCAACAATAGGCCCTGGCCAGTTTGGCTCAGTGGATAGAGCATCGGCCCGCAGACTGAAGGGTCCCAGGTTCAACTCCGGGCAAGGGCACAGGCCCAGGTTGAGAGCTCGATGCCCAGTGGGGAGCGTGCAGGAGAAAGCCGATCAATAATTCTCATCAGGGATGTGTCTATCTCTCTCCCTCTCCCTTCCACTCTGAAATCAATAAAGATATATATTTTTAAAAATGGGGAGATCCTTATAAAAATGTCAACATTAACAAAAAATAAAAGGGTTAATTAAAACCAGGATGAAAGGAACGTGACCCCTGGCCCTCACTCACCCCTCCCTGATGATCTTCTCGGTGTCACTGGCCACGTGGTAGTAGCTGATGACGTGGTCCAGGCAGGACAGCGTCTTCTCCACGTTCTCCTGCAGCCGCTGCAGGTTCTCCGTCTGCTTGTGCACAGGGATGATGGAGTTCTCCAGCTTCATCAGGCGGCTCTCAAAGGACGACAGGATGGACACCTGCGGGGACCACGTGCCCTCAGGCCTCGCGACTGCCCCAGTGTGGCTTCTAGGCACCTACCAGGTCTTCGGCACTTGCTGCCTTTTCTCTGCTTTTCTGGACAATAAGTCCGTGAGGGAAGGGCGGGGGTGCAGCCGTCACCGCTGTATCCTCAGTGCACAGGACGTGGCCCAAACACATTGGGTGAAATTTGTTTGTTTTTTTAAATATATTTTATTGATTTTGTACAGAGAGGAAGTGAGAGAGATAGAGAGTTAGAAACATCAATGAGAGAGAGTCATCGATCAGCTGCCTCCTGCACACCCCCTACTGGGGATATGCCCACAACCAAGGTACATGCCCTTGACTGGAATCGAACCCGGGTCCCTTCAGTCCCCAAGCCGACGCTCTATACACTGAGCCAAATCGGTCTCGGCCATTGGGTGAAATTTGATTTGAAGGCAATGCAAGCATCAAAAGACCTCCCCGCAAAAGATGGCTTCCCTTCCACCCTTTGAAACCAAATCTCAATTCCTGTTCTTTCTGAGGCTTTCCTAGGATAAACAGGAAGTAGCTGCATATGGAGTAGCCTGAAATGAATTGTTGGCGCTTCCAAAGGCCTCTCTCTAAGGGTGAATCTCACTATGTAAGGGCAAGGATTTCATGATTATGTTACTACATACAGACACCACGTTTGTATTTACTCAACCTGTGCTCTACAGTCTCCTCTAGAAATAGAGAAGAAACCCCCTGTTTATTGAGCACCAACTGTATACCAGGCGCTGTGCAAGACGGGTCCCCATGTATTGGCTCCTGTGACCCTCACAGCCACAGGGGGAGCGTGGCATTGTCTATGTTTTGTCACAGGAGTTAACTGAGGCTCAGAGCTACCTGTCCGGAGCCACCCACAAACAAGTGGAGGGTGGGGACTCCGATTTCCGAGCTCATTCTACCCCAAAGCCCTGCGGGGGGGAGATGGCTGAGTCTTGTCTGCCCTCAGCAACCTCAGAAGTGCCACCCTTGCCCTCCTCCGCCGGCTACCTGAAGTGAGGATGGCACAGACCGTCCCGGCCCACCTGTCAGCCTCACTGCTGTTTGCAGAAGGAGACGCAGACCAGCAGCATCCTCCGTGAGGGGGCGGACAAGGGGAAGGCTAGGCGGCAACAGACATGCCACACTGCTGCTGGAGAAACCCACCCGATGCCACCACCCCTGCCCAGGCCAGAAGCCAGGCCTGATGGACCGGCCCGGGCCGCCAGGCCGCAGGCGCTCCTGCGGGATCAGGAGGCCTGGCCGCCGCGCAGCTGGGGCCACTCACCATGTTCTTGGTGAGCTGGTCGCTCTTCTCCAGGCTGTCTCGGATGAAGGACAGCGTCTCCTCCTCCTGGGGCGCGGAGGGAGGCGTCAGCAGAAGCCCGCGGCCTCGCCCCCGGGCCCAGCTCCTGGCAGGGAGCGCCCCTCACCCCGCCCGGGCCTCGGCGCCCGCCCTCCCCTCCTCCCCCGCCTCCCCCGCCCCAGCCTCACCTGCTTCAGCTTCTCCTCGATTTCCCGCCGCCGGGCGGACGCCTCCTGCGGGGGAATCATCCCGGCGGCCCGGCGCCGCGTCCACTTCCAGTGTGTTGTCCCTGCGTGCGGCCCTTCCCGGCTTCCGTCCCTGCCACGCCCACTTCCGGCCCTGGCCCCGTCCCGGAGCGCGCTGGGCGCCATGTTGGGAGTGGCATGCGGGAGTGCGCCTGCGCGGGCACGGAGGCGCCCGGGGAAAGTCGCCATCTTGGGTGTGGCCGAAGCGTGGCCGCGGTGGGCCAGCCGGGAGAGCCTCACTCAGCTCTTATTCAACTCGTTACGTCTGTGAACAACACCTAGCCCATAGTGCACGTTCAAAAATATATCGCTAACATCGTGCTTTCTATGTCTAAGGAAGGGACTCCTTTATGGTTATGAACAAGTAGTTTCTTTCCCCAAAAATCTTTATTTTTTAAAAATATTTTTTATTGATTTTTTTACAGAGAGGAAGGGAGAGGGATAGAGAGTCAGAAACATCGATGAGAGAGAAACATCAATCAGTTGCCTCCTGCACACCCCCACTGGGGATGTGCCCGCAAACAAGAATTTTTTTGCCCCTGACTGGAATCGAACCTGGGACCCCTCAGTCTGCAGGCCGAAGCTCTATCCACTGAGCCAAACCGGTTAGGGCAGTCCCCCACCCCCCAAATCTTTATTGTTGAAAGTATAACCTGTCCCCCTTTTCCCTCAATTGACTCCTTTTAGCCTGCCCCCTCTCCCCTTCCCCCGCCCCTATTGTCTGTCTAAGTGTCCAAAGAACAAATACTTTCAAATTTGTACAATCTCATCGCATTTTTGGTAAATGAACTCTGTGTGCTTTTTGTATTTTCTCACATTCCTCCACTAAGTGTAACTTGGTAGCCAGCTGCCACGTAGTGAGAGCCGTCTGTTTGCCCATCTCCGTCACCCATTCTTGCTCCCGGTCCTGGCTAATCCTCACAGTAAACTTCCGAGGGGGCACAGCTGTGGTGTCCCTTCCGCAGGAGGAAGCTCCACGGCCTAAACCAACACAGCTGGCTGGGCCTGCAGCTCAGGAATGCTTGCTGTGCAAAGCTGCCAATGTGATGGTCAAGAAAACCCACTGTGGAAAGCAGGTTATTTTAAAATATATATTTTATTGATTTTTTTTCAGAAAGGAAGGGAGAGGAATAGGGAGTTAGAAACATCGATGAGAGAGAAACATCAATCAACTGCCTCTTGCAGACCTCCTACTGGGGATGTGCCCGCAACCAAGGTACATGCCCTTGACCAGAATCGAACCTGGGACCCTTCAGTCCACAGGCCGACGCTCTGTTCACTGAGCCAAACCGGTTAGGGCTAAAACTACTTTTTAAATTTAATGTAATTCTATCCAAAGTACGAAGAAGGTATATATGCCCTCCTCTGCCTTGACCCCCAGGTGGTTACTCTGTCCCAGAAGGAACCACAGTTATAACTTTCTGGATGAAGTTATACAAACCCAGGCATATTTTACACAGAATAAGCTCCTCCCTCTCTCTCTCTCTCTCTCTCTCTCTCTCTCTCTCTCTCTCTCTCTCTCTCTCCTTCCCTCCCTTCTTCTCTCCTTTCCTCTCCCTAAAACAATATCCTAGGGTGAAGATCAATAACAACAAAATATGTCCTTCCTGCAGCCTGCATGTTCACTTACCAGTACACTTTTTCCCCCCCTCTCTCCAGGTGAGCTTTAAATCACTTCCCCACCTGCAAATTGAATGCCCCCTGAGTAAACTGGTTTGAACTCGGTCCTCAGAGAGGCTGGGGGCTGTCCCCAGGGGACATGCCCACTTGAGGAATGGAGGCCAAGTGTGACCGGGGAGGGAGGGCTGGGAGGCCGGACCAGGCCTCCTGGCTGAGGGTGTGAAGCGGCCCCCAGCCAAGAGGAAGGGCTCCCGGCAGGGCTGGACCCGCTGAGGGCAGATCAAAGGCCGAGCGACAACAGTGAGAGGAGAGCGAGGCGCCCGGCAGGTGGCAGGTGGTGGCAGGAGGGGCGGGAAGGCCGCTGCCCCGCTCCTGGGGAGGGGACACATCAGTGCTGAGCCAGCAAACACACAGCTAGGTGATGGCGAACTCCAGGGGCCCAGGGAGGAGCAGGGCCCGGAGGGAGGACCGCGGGACGAGAAGACCTGGAGGGGAGATGGGGGGTGGGAGTCCCAGAGCCGGGCGTTGAGGGGAGGGCGGTTCATGCGCCTTTGGAGGCGACTGGGAGCTTCTGGGCCCCGAACATCACAGCGACAGGGTGGCAGGGAGCACACCCCAGGCCCCCACCTGTCACCGCGGGCAGGGCGGCCCCGGGCGCGGGTGGGATACGTCCACGTGGCGCTGACTCCCGCCTCCCCGTCTGCCCCCCCACCCCCCGCATCTTCAGGCTCCAGAGCCTCTGGGAGGGTGTGGAGGACGCGGCTGGCCGCAGGGGGGCGCGCTCCCCGCTCCCCCAGGCGCTGAGCCCCAGTCTGGGCGGAGGGCCTGCGGGCCACCAGGGGGCGCCCGCCGCCGCCTGTGCGCGTCCGCCCGCCCGCGAGCCCGCGGCGCAGGGGGGTCCCCCCGGAGAGCGGAGCGGGCGGGGGGCGGGGGGTCCCCCCCGGAGAGCGGAGCGGGCGGGGGGCGGGGGGGTCCCCCCCGGAGAGCGGAGCGGGCGGCGCGGGGGGGGTCCCCCCAGGAGAGCGGGCGGGGTGTCCCCCCGGAGAGCGGAGCGGGCGGGGGGCGGGGGGGTCCCCCCCGGAGAGCGGAGCGGGCGGCGCAGAGGGGTCTCCCCCGGAGAGCGGAGCGGGCGGGGGGCGGGGGGCGGGGGGCGGGGGGGTCCCCCCGGAGAGCGGAGCGGGCGGGGGGCGGGGGGCGGGGGGTCCCCCCGGAGAGCGGAGCGGGCGGGGGGCGGGGGGTCCCCCCGGAGAGCGGAGCGGGCGGGGGGCGGGGGGCGGGGGGGCGGGGGGGTCCCCCCGGAGAGCGGAGCGGGCGGGGGGCGGGGGGTCCCCCCGGAGAGCGGAGCGGGCGGCGCGGGGATGGTGTCCACGGAAAAGGGGGCCCGCCGCCCGGGAGAGGAGAGGGCCGTGGAGGCGGGAGGAAGCCGAGGGCGGAGAAAACCCGGGGCCCCACGGCCCCACCGGCCTGGAGCGGGGTCCGAGCCAGCCACCCGGGCATTTCGACCCCGCGACTCCAGGCAACTGAGGGCGCCGACGCCCGATGCCCCCCGCACGCCCCGCACCCCCTCGGGCCGCCTCCCACACCGGGCGCCCGCACCCCGGGGCGCATCCTCAGCCCCCGCCGGAAGGTCTGGCTCCCCCGGGGCTCAGCCCTCACCCCCCCCCCGCACACCCCCCCGCACACCCCGCCCTGCGGGTCCAACCCCCCCCCCCGCCCCGCACACCCCCTCGCACACCCCGCCCTGCGGGTCCTAACCCCCCCCCCCCGCCCGCCCCGCGGATCCTACCCCCCCTAAGGAAATGCCCCGCGGCCGGAGCCCACTGGCCATGACTCCCCCGCGGCTCCTGGGCGGGGCCCGCCTGGAACAGGGGAGGGGGAGGACGGGAGGGGGGACAGGAAGCCCTGGCCCTGGCCCTCTGCAGGGCTGTCTGGCTGGGCTCCCCCCCTCACTGCTGGGGAGTGCCTGCACCTGCGGCTCTAACCTGCCTTCACCCGAGGCCCCATCCTTCCGCGCGGTGGGTCGCTCACCACCAGGCTCCACTGTCTCCACGCTTAACCCGGGTTGACCTTCCGCAGCGTCCTCCCTCCCTCCCTCCCTCCCTCCCCGATGTGCTCCACTCACAGGCTGACCGTCAGGGCCTAACTCACACGGTCAGTCATCCATCCGGGCTCGGCTGTGTCCGCCCCGCCTGCCCTCCAGGCCACACTGGCATTTCCCACCGGATCGATCGCACTGTGTGGCCGCATCTTTGGGGTCACACATGCCCGGCTCGCCTCCCATCCTGGAACGCCCCTTCCCAAGCCCAGGAGGAGGCCACCTGGGCGGAGGGGCCTGGTGTGGACCGGGAGTGTGGGACTGCTCTCAGCCGGGCTCTGACCCATCAGGTCCTGGGGACACTCAACTCCAGGGTTCGAGGCAAGCCCACAGAGTCAGTTTCCGCCCTGCTCCTGCCCCAGGCCACATGGAACTGCGGTCAGAGTGCCCCCCATCCCCCCAACTGCCCCCAGGCAGGAGCTCCCCGGGCCCGAGGGTGCCGCGGCTTTGAGCTGGGCCGGGCGGGGCCAGGCGGGGGCCTGCCTGCTCCTGATGACTCTCCTCTGTTCTCCGGGTGCTGGCCAGGGGGTGATTCCTTCTGGGGCTGGGAGACCCCGTGTCCCACTCAGGGAGGCCAGAGAGACCCAGGGGACGTGGACGGGGACGCTGAGGCAGGGTCTCTGCCACCCCTCCCCACCGCTGGGACCCCTCCTGCTGGCCAGCACAGCACCCTCTAAGCAAGTGGGCGAAGCCGGAATATCACTGGGGACGGGACAGGATTGGTGCCCAGATGCGGCCGGCAGAGGGCAGGGTGGTCTGGGGTGGGGCAGGGCACTGACAGGGCCCGTGGGTGGCTCTGCGCACACACAGCTGCCTCTCCGCTCAGCTTCGCTCCCTGACGAACGGCCTGGAGGGCTGTGGGCCTCGCTGGGCCTCAAAGGCCCTGGGGGCCTGGGGGCCTGGGGGCTGTGGGCGGGGAGCTGTGTGCAGGCGGCTGCTCTCCCCAGTCGCTGGGGTCTTGCTGTCCCAGGGCCCAGGCAACTGCCTCCTTCCTGGGGAAAGAGGGCCTGAGCCCCTCAAGCAAGCGAGCAGGGGTCCGGCAGGGCGAGGGGAGCTGGTCTGTCCCCCGTTAATGTGCACCAGCCTCGCCTGCACCGCACCCCCAGCGGGCTGGCCCCTGGGGGTCAGTGCTCCCCAGCTGACCCTGCCCGCGGCTGACCACACAAGGCAAGTTCAGGCCCCAGCATGCCCGTGGGGTGCCTCTGACCTGTCCCCGCCCCGCCCGGAGCCCCTGAGCGGGACAGACACACGTGTCCAGGAGGGCGGTGACCCCAGGGCCTCCGTGTGCCTCTGCCTCACGCAGGTCAGCGCAGCCCCAGCAGGGGTGGCCTCTCAGAGCCCCCCAGGGTGCCTCCCCTCCCTGCCACCCGCCTTTCCTCCTCCTCTTACGCAAGAATGTGTCAGCAGGACCTGGGCTGCTCTCCACCCCATTGTGAATGCGTCCCCCCATCTCCACCCCAGACAGGCCCAGGCCTGCCCCCTGCCCCCTGCTGCGAGGCCAAATACACCTGTTTACCTTTGGGCCCTGCCCGGATGGAAGTGTGCCTGGCTCCTGCCTCTTCCTCCCACCTGCCCGCACACCCCTCCCCGCCCCCAGCTCACTCTTCCCTCTGAGAGTCTGTGCCTGTGCGGGGCGGAGAGCGGTCGGTCCTCAGCGCCTCGGCTCTGCAGGCGCCTGGCCTGCTGCTGGGGGACAGCAGGAGCCGGGCTGAGGGGTCCCAGGTCGCTGGAGCCGTGGTGGCCTGGCCGGTACAGGATGTGCTCTGGGCAGAGAGGGCAAGGCCTCCAGCTCCAAGTTCCTGCCCTCTCTCCCCCCCCCTTCCCCTCACATGGCAGCTGGGCAAAGGGGACACTTAGGAGACAGGAGAGCGGCTTCTTTGGGAAGGTCTGCCCCAAACACAAGAGTGAAGTCCTTTAGGGGCTTCTCACCTCAAAGGTGGGGATGAAAGGAGACAGGAACCTGTTTGGAGAGTCGGGCACAGCCACACAGCTTACAGGAGAGAGGGCTGCCAGGAGGTCCCCGTCAGATTCCGGTCAGATTGGATTCCCGGTCAGAAAGATGCCATGTGGTGGCTCGATCCCCAGTGGGGAGCGTGCAGGAGTTGATGGAATTTTCTCTCATGGATGTTTCTATCTCTATCCTTATCCCTTCCCCCTCTCTAAAATCAATAATATATATATTTGGGGGCAAGTGGAGAAGGCCAAAAAAAAAAAATATATATATATATATATATATTGATTTCAGAGAAGAAGAGAGAAGTAGAGAGAGATAGAAACATCAATGATGAGAAACATTGATCGGCTGCCTACTGCACACCCCCCACTGGGAATCAAGCCCACAACGCTGGCATGTGCCCTTGACGGGAATTGAACCTGGGACCCTTCAGTCTGCAGGTCAACGCTCTATCCACTGAGCCACACCAGCTAGGGATATATATATATATATATATATATATATATATATATATATATATATATTAGAGAGAGAGAAGAAGAAGAGGGGGAGAGAGAGAACCCCTCAGTGCAATTCATGACCCTGGACTGGGATGCTGGCCGGGGGCGGGAAGCATCAGTGGGGCCATCTGCTAACTTCGAACTTGATGAGGTGGGATTGCCAGGTCCTTGTTCATGTCCTGATGGTGATGGGGGCACGAGGGCTCTGCAGGACGCAGACACTTCAGCAGTTGGTGCTGATGGGCATTTGTCTGCAGCTTACTGCCACCTGCTGCAGTGCACTTTGATGGGGGTCACGTGGAATCCATCAGTAACTAGGAGGTAAAGGGACAGCTTTTTAAAAAGCCACCAGGGCAGGCTCAGCCTGTGTGGCTCAGCGGTTGAACCAGGAAGTCACAGTTTGATTCCGGGTCAAGGGCACAGGCCTGGGTTGCCGGCTCGATTCCCAGTGTGGGGCCCAGTGTAGGGTGTGCAGGAGGCAGCTGATCAATGATTCTCTCTCATTATTGATGTTTCTCTCTCTCTCTCCCTCTCCCTTCCCCTCTGAAATCAATACATCTAAACAAATAAAAAATAAAAATAAAAGCCATCGAGCAGGAGGGATGGCTCTGAAATGCACATTTCCCCCTCAGACGCCGCCTGCTCAGAGTGGGGAGCCCGGAGCACCGGCCCCGCTGGGCGTTGGCAGCGTCCGGGGCCCTTCATCAATGTAAGGCCTGGGCCCGCACAGGGGTTTTCAGCTCCTGGTCGGTTCCCCCACAGGGCTGAGCGGCCCCCCCCCCCCCCCCCCCCGCTCCCCTCCGGCCTCTCCTCACCGCCCCCGCTCCCCTCCCGCCTCTCCTCACCGCAGTGGGCAGCGCTGCCTGCCAGACCTGTCCCTCCCCCAGCCCAGGGGAGAGGGTGGCACGCCCACCTGCCAATCAGAGGTGTAACTCCTTCTGCCAGGGCTGGAGGCTGATCTTGGGGGCCCGTGGAGAAGGCCATATCCCCCCCCCCACCTCCCCCCCCCCTGCATTTCCCCACTGCTGGGGGCCCGTAGGGAGTTGGGCGGGTGGGTTGGAGGGGTGGGGGGGAAGGGAGTCGCAGACTGAGGCGGCCTCTGGCTGCTGTGGGAAGGGGGGGCTGGCTTCTGGGCTCAGCAAGGCCCCACTGGCCCCGCAGTGTGTGCCCGCTGAAATATTTGGAATCATTAGCAAGTGAAAGCAGCATTCGCCAGGGGAATGCAGGCCTGGCCCTGAGCCGAGCCCCAGAGAAGGGAAAGAAAGGGCTAGAAACAGCCCATGGAGGCTGGGCAGGCAGCGGGAGATGCCCATCTGTGCCAGGGCGTGTGTGTGTGTGTGTGTGTGTGTGTGTGTGTGTGTGCTGGGGAGGAGCTGTGCACCCCCAGGGTGTTCTCCTGGGGCTGAGCGGAGAGGTGGGCTCCAGACAAAGCTGGGGGAGAGGACTGAGAGATGCCACGTGTGTCACGCGAACACACGTTCTTTTAAAAAATATATATATTTTATTGATTTTTCACAGAGAGGAAGGGAGAGGGAGAGAGAGTTAGAAACATCAATGAGAGAGAAACACCGACCGGCTGCCTTCTCCACGCCCCCCACTGGGGATGTGCCCGCAACCAAGGCACATGCCCTTGACCGGAATCGAACCCGGGACCCTTAAGTCCACAGGCCGATGCTCCATCCATTGAACCACACCGGTTTTGGCTGAACACACGTGTTCTGTGCCTCAGTTTCCCCATCAGAGCCCTGGTAGGCGGGGCTCCTCGCAGAGCAGACCTCCAGTGTGAGGGGGGAGGGTCTGGGCACACAGACTTCCCGGCCGCGCCGCACCGGGCCTGGGAGGGCGGCCCGCGCTGGGTGCACACACCCCAGGTGGGCGTGCAGGCCCTGGGACGGGCCCTCTGACCTCACACCGTCCCCTCCAGGCGGTGCTGGAGCCTGGCCCAGGCCAGGGAGGCACACTCAGGCGGGCAAGCCCAGGCAGGCCCGGGGGAGGGGGACACACACACGCTCAGCGCAGCCTGCACAGGCGCAGCCTTTGTGAGTCCCAGGCCAGGGAGGGGCTGTGCCTCCTCTTCCGCAGGCTCCTCGGCTGTGGGGTGGTTACCCCCATTGTGCAGACGGGGGCACTGAGGCCAGGGCTGCAGGGAGCCCTTAGCTGCCTCTCCCCTTTCCTGGGACAGTCATCAGGGGGCATGTTCAGGCCTTCAGTGACCCCCCAGCTCCCTCCAGCCCTCCCCCTGCGGCCCCGATGAGAACCCCCCCATCCTTGCCCTCGCCTTTTCCCAAAGAAAGTTGCAAGCAGGTCCATTTGCAGATTTAAAAAAAAATTTATTGTCAAAAAAACATGTATTGCAAATAACTTTCCATGAAAAAGGTTAAATTGCCCTGTGGGCAGGAGGATGGATTCGGGATGCAGCCTGGGGCGCTGGGGGGTCGGGCGCAAGACACTCCCCCAGGAGTGCAGGCGGGGCACGGGCGACCCCACCCCTTCCTGGTCCCCGTGGTTCTAGCAAGCTGGCCATCCCTCCCGGTTAAGCCTCAGCTCTAGGTTACACTCACTACGTTAGTCCGTCTGCCCCTCCGCCCTGCCCCCAACCCCCGGAACCCAGCTCCTCACACTGTCAGCCTCCAGTGGGGCTCAGACGTGCGGGGTTTCCAGCCTCGCCCCTGCCCGCGGTGGAGATGGGCCAGGAGGCCTTAGGAGGTCTCCCTGCCCCGTGGGGGCCCGGCCCTCAGGTCTCTCTCCTCTCGGCCCCTCCGGCTCCGCCCGCCTCCTGCCCGCCCGGCCCCTGGGGCTTTGCTGGAGAGGCCCCAGGGGGTAAATCTGCAGTCACCTCATTAGCGGACCTGGGACTTTTCTCTGGATACAGACCCCGGGTGGGGGCGGGGGAGGAGGAAGGAGAACCTTTGGAAGCCCAGGTGCCCCAGCCAGGCGGGCCCTCAGGCCGGTCCCTGGGGCGGGCAGATGAGGGCAAAGCAACACTGTGTGGGGCCCGGGCTGACGGCGGCGATCGGTTCCCCGGGGCTGGGAGCCAAGGGCGGCCCGGCTGGGGGATGTGTGGCCCCGTGGTGCCGGCCCGGGAGGCGTGCCCAGCCCCTGTCTGGGCAGCGGGGTCCCCGGCCGGTGCTGGGGCGGCGGGGTCCCCCGCCGGTGCTGGGGCGGCGGGATCCCCCGGCCGGTGCGGGGCCGGTGCTGGGGCGGCGGGATCCCCCGGCCGGTGCTGGGGCGGCGGGATCCCCCGGCCGGTGCGGGGGCGGCGGGGTCCCCGGCCGGTGCTGGGGCCAGTCTGGCCGGGACTCGGACGCCGTCCGCAGGCGGGTGGGCCCGGCCTCTTACAAGAAGGCGCCCACGCTGGCCCAGTCCTGCAGCTCGGCGGCCAGGGTGGCGTCCCCGGCCTCGAAGAGGGGCTCGGGGGGCAGGCCGCCGCTGCCGCCGTCGTCCCAGGGGTGCTGCAGGAAGGACGTGGCCAGGAAGGTCTCGTCGAAGTCCAGGCTGTCGGCGGCCTGCTCCCCCGCGGGCCCCCAGGTGGCGGGGCAGTCGACGCGGTGGCCGTGGGCGGTGAGGTCCACGTCGCCGCCCGGCGAGGCGGGGCTCAGCGGGGGGCTCAGCTCCAGGGCCTCCAGCGCGCCCAGCTCCCCGCCCAGGGCGCCCGCGTCGAACACCGCCTCCCAGTCAAAGCTGCCCTTGAGGGGCTCCAGCTCGCCCTGCTCCTCCGGGGTCAGCAGCAGGGAGCTGGGCGGCCGGGGCGCCTTGGCCACGCGCTTGGGCAGCGGCTGCTTGCGCTTGTGCCCGGGCCTGCCCTCGCCCGCGCCCCAGCCGCCCTCCCCCGTGGCCTCCTCGAACTCCCGCAGCAGCCGCTGGGCCTCGGTGCTGGCGGCCGGCGGCCCGGGCCAGGGCGCGGGGCCCGGCGGGGGCGCGGCCTGGCGGGCGAAGGCGGGGTGGATGTGCACCGGGGGCAGCCGCCGCTTCTTGAAGGCGCCGCTCAGCAGGCGCTCGGCGTACTGCGGGTCGATGCGCCAGAAGCCGCCCTTGCCCGGCTCGTCCTTCTCCCGCGGCACCTTGATGAAGCACTTGTTCAGGGACAGGTTGTGGCGGATGGAGTTCTGGGGAGCACAGAGGGGGAGGAGCGGTCGGCGGTGGCCTGTGCTCCCGCCCGGCTCCTACCCGCTCCGCTCGGTGGGGGAGGGGGAGGAGGCTCTGGGACGCCAGCCACGGCCCCGGAGCCAGGAGGGCAGTCGGGGCTTTTATTCCCTGTTGCTGGGATATCTGCCGGCTCAGTCATCCGAGCCCCGAGCCACAGGGTGGATTCAGTGCCACCCTGCCCTGCCCGCCCCCCCTCACCCCACCACTCACAGCCTCTGGCCAAACGCCTCCGCTCCCCCAGGGCCTGGCCGGCCGGCTGTTTGTGGAGGGAGAGGGGCGGGGTGGGCGGCACTGGGTGACCGGCGGCGTGAGGGTGTGCGTGTGCGTGTGCGTGTGTGCTCACATGTGTGTGTGCTCACGTGTGTGTGCCTGCGCTGGAGTGTGTGTAGGGGTGAGGTGTGGTAGGAGCCGATGGCTTGCCTTGTTTGTTGAGCCAGCCGCTGCATTGCCCCCCACGCCCCTCCTCCCACCCAAGCTGTGTGGCCTCGGTTGATTGTCACCCAGCACAGAGCACAGCACTCATTCTTGGGCCCACTTCCCGCAGCCGGGGCTCCGCAGGCGTGGGGGGCAGCGGGGTCTCTGCCTTCGCACCGAGGCTGCCGAGGGCGTCGCCCCGCCAGGGCCCAGCCAGTGAAGAGCGGCCGGGATGTGACAGGCGGCCTGCTGCTGCGGGTGCCCAGGGAGGACTCTGGGTGTCCGGGGGGTGAGGGAGGGCTGTCCCCAACCAGGCCCTGATCCTGAGCCTCTCAGGGCAATGCCTGTGGGCCTCAGAGCACCATCTAAGGCGCAGGAAGGGGACAGGGGCCGGGGGCCTGACCAGCAGGGCGGACAGGTGGGTAGTGCCCGTGGCAAGGCCGGGTGTTTACATGGCGGCCTGGCCCTGGGCTGAGACTTGGAGCCTGAAGCCCGAGCTGGAGGCAGAGCCCCGCGGAGAGCACCTGGCTCAGGTAATTGTCTCCCCGGGGAGCCTGGCGGAGAAGAGGGGAGGAGGGGAGACAGGAAACGGGAGCGGCTGGAGTGGGGGCTGGGGCAGCAGCTGCAGGAAGGCCCCAACCCAGGCTCCGGGACACAGCTGCCTTCACACCCCACAGCCCTCGACCACCTGCCCCCGCCACAGCCAACTGCAACCAGGCGGGAGGCAGAGCGTGGGCCAATGCTCCAGGCAGGTCCTGGAACTCTGTCCCCGGGCAGGCAGTGTCTAGGAATTGTAGGACCGGGGACCAAACTGTGTCCCTCGTCCATCACCACCTCCCCCCCAGGGGGCTGTGTCCGTCCATGGCCGAGTCCGGCCCTGGTCCCTGGGCTGCGCCTCCTGGAGGAGGGACAATGTTCGCCCTTTGAACTCAGCATCCTCACCCCGGAGGCCCCCTGAGCATCCCCCTCCTCCCGCTCTGGAGCCAAATGGAGCATTTCCCAGCACGGGCTCCCCCACGGGGCCTTCCTCCCCGGGGCCCTGCCGGCTTGACCTGGATCTGGGCGCAGTGAGTGAGTCCCTGGAAGGATGGAGGGGGCGGGGTGGCAGGAGGCCGGGCAGGAGCAGCCGCACCCCCCCCCCCCCTACCTGCCAGGTGGGATCCGCGTGGCGGAAGTAGCAGAAGTTGTCCGTGATCCACTTGTAGATGGCGGACAGCGTGATCTTGGTGGCCTTGCTGGCCTGCATGGCCATGCAGATGAGCGTGGCGTAGGAGTAGGGCGGCTTCACGCTGGGGTTGGTGGCGTAGTCCACGTCGTCGGGGGGCGGCAGCCCCGGGGCGCCGGACGTGCAGGAGGCCGTGGGCTTGCCCGGCGTGTGCGGCGGCCCCAGGCAGGCGGGGTCGGCCGCCAGCGGGGACCCCGGCGCCGCGGAGCCCGACACCTGGCCGTAGCCGTGCGGGTCGGCGCCCCCCGGGGGCAGCGCGGGCGCCTTGGCGCTGAGGATGGAGAACTCCTGCAGCCACTGCAGGCTGGTCAGGCTGTCGTCCAGGGCGTCCGGCTCCTCCAGGCCGCCCTCCGGCCCCGCCGCCGGCCCTGCGCCCGGGAGGCGCAGCCAGCTCTCCGCCATGGCCGCGGCTCCGAGGGGGCGGGCAGCGTCCCTCCGGCGCTCCCTCCGCCGAACCGCTACGCCGCCTCCCGGACGCGCGCGTCCATCCCCGCGACCGGGGTCGCCGACTCCGAACACGGACGGACGTGGGGCCTGCGGGGAGCGGGGCGGGAGCTGAGCCCTCTCCCCGCCCGGGGTGTGTGTGTGCAGGTCTTTGGGGCCGCGGTCTGGGGAACAGGAAGACCCCCGCCCCACCCTCGCCCTTCACTCCCTCTTCGGGGTTGAAGGGAGACTATGAGCCAAATAAAGGGGGAAGGTAGGAGCATTCCCGTCCACCCCATTCCCCGCGAGAGCGGAGACTCAGACGCTCCCCCCCGCCCCCGGGGAAGAGGGGCGAGGGAGCCCGACGGGGCGGGGGCCGGGAAGGCCATCTGGCCTTGGAAAAGGGGTTATCCGGGGGGAAGAGCAGGCGGAGGAAGGGAACAGGAAACATCATTATGGGGGCGGAGAGTGAAGCACCCCCAAACTCCGCAGGTGTCAGCCTCCAGGCCCACCGCTGGCTTCGGGACGCATGCGAGGGCGCGCTGCGGGCCGCCCCCCTTCCGGCCCGCAGACCGCTCGGCCCTTACCTGGCTCAGGGCGCAGCCGGGCTAAGGGAAGCTTCTGGAAGAAGTTGCCACCACCCCCGCGGCTCTGAGCCCTCCGCGGAGGGCCCCGCCGGCACCCCTCGCCGCCCCCCGAGCCTGAAGGCGCCTCTCTGAGCGCCCGCGGCCCGGGACTCGCGTTAAGTAGCCGCTCCGAAGGCTTCTCCTGCTGCCATGGCGACGCCCCGCCCCCATAAACAGCTTCCGCCGCTGCCATTGGCCGGCGCGTCTCCAAGGTGACCGCGGGCTCTCGCCCCGCTCTGCGGCGGTAACTCCCTGGAACTCCCTCCTTTGGCTCCGCTCTCCCGCGCCGCCAGCCCCCGCCGCCCGCGCCCGCGCCCGCGCCCGCGCCCGCATTCCCGCCCGAGGGGCGCGCGGGTTCCGGGGAGGCGCGCGGCCCCGCGCTCCCGCCGGCCCGGGCGCTCGGGGAGCCGTCCACCCCCGGAACCTGCCCTCGCCCTGCCCCCTCCGGTCCCCGCTGCTCCGAGGACGCAGCCCGGGGCGCGAGGCCGGCCGAGCGGGGCTCAGCCTCGGGAGCCGCGTGCTGGGCTTCCATGTCCTCTCCTCCGGGCTGCGGCCTGTCCCCCTCTCCCCGTCCCGAGGGTCAGCCTGGTGCCCGCGGGCAGGCCTGACTCTCCGACCCACCCGCCGCCCAGGTGCGCGCCGTGAACCGCACGGACCGCAGACGCACCAAGGCGGGAGGGTAATCCCTCCGGATTCCCGGTAAGCGGCTGCCTCCCCGCCCCTGGCATTCCAGAGGCTTCTGCGGAAGTCCTCCCTCCTTCCCAGTGAGCTGAGGCAGCAGAACCAGCGGGCACAACTCAGAGAAGCCACGGACTTCCCAAACTCTCCTAGCCGGTCATCTAACCCAGCGATCCACCACCCTCTAAGTGACAGACAGGGACTGCGGCCCCCCTCCCCGCCCGGCCTCCCTGCTCTTCAATTATTGAGGAGCTGCAGGGCTGGGAGTTCTCGGGTTTAAGGGCAAGGGTGGGGCTGAGGGCTCCTCGCTCAGGCCTCAGGAGCTGGAGGGCTGTGGGTGAAGCCAGGGCCCAGGGGATGGCACATCCAGGGGCACGGCCTCCCTCGCCCCCTGCCCTCGCCTGCACCCCGAGTGGTAAAGGGGCGGGCGGAAGTCGGACAGGAACTCCCATCAGTAACCAGCGGCAGGCAGCGCTCTCCTTCCTTGTCAACTTTTATTCCGTTTTGAGAATCATGCAGAGTCCGTACACACCGCGTCCTGGTGTCCCCATTGTCCTGTACCCGTGAGCGTAGCTCCGGGGAGGAGGGCGCCCAGATGGCACAGCCGCACACACACCCTGCACACAGCACCGTGCAGCGCCTGGAGCAGAGTGGGCAGCAGGGGTGCCATGAGCAGGTGGACAGGATACAAGCTCTCCCCGGGTGAGATGGCTTCACGTGTGTGGGTCTGTGCCCAGGAGGTGCCCGGCGTGGGCGGGGACTCCGGTGGGACGGAAAGGGCTGTGGGGAGGCCTGGGCCATACCACCCGGAGGCGTGGGAAGCTCAGGCCCGCGGGTGGCAGGGAGGAGTGGCCTCCAGGTAGTCCATGCCCGTCCATGCTCTCGGGGACAGCGGCCGCCAGCACGGCTGTGCCCAGTGATGGGCGGGCAGCGGCCTTGTCCCCGCAGGCTGACTGAGGACCAGCCTCTGGGGGGGGATATTTCCGTTTGCCAACATCTGAATGAGAACTGGGGGGGTGGGGGGGCCCCCACAGAGGACAGGAAGTGGCTGAAAGACGAGGACTGAAGGGCCGCTCTATAGCCAGAGGCCTTGGTTAGGGAACCAAGGCAGAGAAGAACTTTCTGAGCCCCTCCCCCCGGAGAGGACACAGGGCCTCAGAAAGGGGGACGGGATGGCTTCCTGCCAGGTGGCTGCTGCTGACCTGCAGCTCCTGCGTCTCCGGTTACGCCACACGGAGGGCAGGCCGGTCTGCGGGCTCTACCCAGGCGGAGTGAAGCCCCCTTCCCTGGCGTTCCTGGAACTCACACTTGGAGGAACTCAGGGAGTGGGGTTACTGCTCGGATCTCAAACAGGAAAGGGGCGGGGCAAGGAGGATGTGGGAAAGGGGCGGGCACGGAGTGGGGCCTGAACCAGCAGAGTCCACTGTAGGATTCCAGAGGGCAGGCCAGGGAACTCCATCCAGAAGCTTCCATTCCGGCGTGGTGGCACAGAACAGCAGGCTCCCTGCTGACCAGGCGGAACCTGAGCCACAGCCATTGGGCGGTGGGAGGGCCCACTCAGCCGGCCGTGCAGAGCCACCCAGAGGGTGCTGAGCCAGGAGCCCTGGGCATGGGGCTCCCTCGGAGGCCTGGCAAAGGCCCCAGAAGCTCTTCCAGGTGCCAGGTCCAAATACTGAGACAAGCCATCGGACGGGTGTAGCTGGGCTCCACATCCCAGCCTCACATGTGGCTGTTTTCAACTCTGCCCCCAACTCGCCCACCTCCCCAAAGGCCAGCAGACAGAGCGTCCACCCAAGAGCTCTGAGGACTCAGCAGAGCTGGTGCCGAGAGGAGGCACGCCCAGCCGCTCACCGTCCGGGCCACCTTGCTCCCCCAAGCTTTTGGGCTGGGGGTGGGGGGTGGGCAGGTGACTGGAACACCCTAAGTCTCCCATGAGCCTGTGGAAGGCAGTCCTCCCCTTGGCCCTCTCAGGCCAGGAGGACTGGAAGGTGGGGAGGAAAACGGGGTGGGGACACTCCCAGGGGCGAAGGCCCTGCCTCCTGCCACCAGCAACCAGACCACTGATGGCCCCGCTCAGCGCTCTCCACCGCTTCCTGGGGAGGCCTGGGTACGAGCTGGAGGGTCCCTGGTGCACCCGCTCTCAGCCTGTTTCTTCAACTATGAACCAACGCGGGTGGAGACGGGAGACGGGGTAAGATGATGATCGGACAGGGCCAGAGCGATGGCGTAGCTCCCGCACCTGAGAGGTGGCCAAATGTGTTCTGAAATGTCACCTTCGGGTGAGTCCCAGGCCTTCCCGGATGCACCTGACCCAGACCCTCTCGAGGTCCTGTAACGTGTGTGTGTGTGTGTGTGTGTGTGTGTGTGTGTGTGTCTCAGGTCCAAGGCCTCCTCTCTAAACAAGACAGTCACACGAGGCTTAGACTCGCTCGCCTGCTGGAAGCAAGAACTGTCTTTCCAATCAGCCACCTGGTGGGCCGGCACCATTTCGCTTGTCCTTGACGGAAACTCCGCATCCAGTGCAATGTGGCTTGGCCTTCTCCCCCGTCCCCCCCAAACCCGCCCCAAACGGGAGGTTTCAAGTTGGTGTTGCCAGCCCGACACCAGAAAACGCAGCTGCTCGGACTCCGGTCTTCTGGTCTGCCCGCCACTGAGAAGAGAGATGCTGGAGATGCCAACCCGGGGGCCGTGGCTCCCCGAAGACCAAGGTGCAGCGGGATGGAACGTTCCAGAGGGTCTCTGAGGAGGCAGGAGGCGTCCAGCCCCCCCGGAGAGGGGCGGGTCCTGGTGATGAAAGGCTGGGGGTGGGAGAAGGAGCAGGCTGGCCTCCATGCCCCGCTCCCACGCGGTGTACGTCTCCCCGTGTCCCACCGAGGATGCCCAGGAGGCCCCGGCCCGGTGAGTCCGGGACGGGAGGCGGGGATGGGAGGCGGGGACCGGAGTGGCTCTGGCCTGGGCGGGCTCTCAGACGGCCAGAGGCCCCCACACGCAGCGCCCGCTCTCGGCATCCTCCAGGCTGCTGGACGACCGGCGCCGACGCCGAGGGTGCCGACGGCTGAGCGCGTTGTCCTCGGGCTGCCAGGTGCCTGGGGGAGAGAGCACGGTCACCGGGCCCCGCCTCGGCCGGGGCCTGGGTCTCCGGCCGCGCAGCGGGGGGCTCGGCATGGAGGCTGGCGGGGTGCGTGTGCGGGCCACGGCGCGGGAGAGGGCACGGGAAGTGGGCGCCCTGCCCCACGGGCCTCGGTGCCCTGTGACAGAGGGGCAGGGGCTGTTTCTGGTTCTGTGGACCTGCCCTCGGACCCACTTCTGTGCTGGTTTTAAGTCGGCCTACGTGCTGTGCTGGACGATGGACGAGGAAGAAACTGGGCCCCGCCAAGCCTTTCCTCGGGCGAAAAGAGGTGTTTGCACCCGAATGTCTGCTGGGGGGCCAGGGTGGGCAGGAAGAGATTGGCTGCCCAGCAGGGTGCCAGGGACATGGGGGGGCAGTGCCATGGCTTCAGCACCCCGTCCCCACACCTGCCGCTCTTCACCATTTTGATCTGAGCAGCCACTGAGGCCTGCCATCCAGAGGCTGAAAAAGGGGGATCCCACGGGCATCACCCCTAAGCTCCTCACCCGCCCCTCAGTCCCCTGCGGCTCTTCTCCCTCCTTCCCACTCTGCATCCTACCCACACTGCCCTCTGTCTGCCTAACCCTCCGTCCGGATGGCTGGCTCCACCCCCAGCTCCTGCCTTCATGCCTCGCAGGAAGCTGGAGGACTGGATGAGGCCACAGGGAGAGCACCCAGCAGGGCACCCACTAGCAGGTGCACAACGGCCAGTGCCCCAGGCTCTGTCCAGGCCACACTCACCTCTCCGCACCTCCCCTCGCCCGCCCTCCCGGCCCACGGCCCGGCTCCGTCCGCGCAGGGAGGCCTCCGTGGACAGGCAGGGACAGGTCACCCACAGCGCGGGAGGGAGACCTGACTCCGCACTCTGAGCAGCGGATCCCCCACCCGCCCCCACAGGCCCCTGCCGGACGAGGCCCAGGGGGTCGGAGGGCTTCCCTGCAGCCTGCACGGCCACCCCACTTCTCACGCTGTGCCTGGACCACCTCCTGAGCAGGCCCACCACCTCTGCAGGTGGGCCTGAGGCTGCTGTCTTCATGTTGGAGGGGGGACACTCACAAAAGTGTGGGGGCGGCCGCAGGCGAGGCCAGCCAACCCCACGAAACCCTGAGGTGGCAGCAGCAACCCCTTATTTCCAAGAGACGCGCTGGGCGGTAACCCGCTTAGGGCTCTGAAAGCCGGGAGGAGGCCCCGGGAAGGGGGGTGAGCAGAAGGACCCTCAGGGGTCTCACGCCCCGCCGGCGGGAACGGGGGGCCGCTGGTCCCCGGGGTACGGGTGTCGGGGTGGGGGTCAGCAGCTCCCTCCCTGTGAGCGGCCGCCCGCTACGGGAGCCGGGGAGCGGGCCGTGTGCGTGCACGGCGGTGTCATACCTAGTTCTCAGTCTATGGGGCAGGACTCCGCGGCGGCGCTGTGCGTGGGAAAGACCAAAAGCAGACGGTGAACAGGAGCAGACACACATGCATGCACAGACAAACTGCCGCGCCCGAGCCTGGGCTGCTCCTGCTCTGGCTCACAGCCTCGCCGGTTCTAGAACCCTCCCCGGCCGACAGCCCTGCCTCTGCCTCCAGGCTGGCGTCCGCTCTCCCTGGGTGCCCATATTCGGGGAGCACGGTCAGGGCACCCTTGGGGGGGGTATTGGATGTTTCCTACCCGGGCCGCCTTCCCCAGGAGGCCCCCAGTCCGGGCCACCCCTCACCTCCACAGGCATTCTCCTTCCCTCATTGACGCCGCGTCCGCCCGGGGCGCCCCTTAAAACCGTACTGTGTTCCCACGACTACACCGTCATCTCTGCTCTTTCCCGTCATCAGCCTCCCAGCGGCTCTCCCAGGACAACCGCGGTCCCAACCCCTGCCCCGTGTGCCAGTCCGCCCCACTCCCCGGACCCCCCACTCCTCGCTGGTCTCTGAGTTCCCGCCTGCTCACCCCGCCTGTCCGCTTAGCCGCCCTCCCAGCAACACGGGGACATCCCTCCGCCCCTGTGTCTCAGGCCGAGAACCCCAGAGGCTTCTTAGGGGATGAGGTGAGGATGAAGACGGGAGCGGGAGGGTGACGGGGCCGTCCTGGAGGGGAGCGCCGTCCGTGTGGAGAGGGAAACGGAGACGAAGGGCCGGGAAGCTACTGGAGCCCACAGGCCCGCGGTGCCCAGCGGCCGATGGGGAGGAACCTCGGGATCTGCATCGCAGGACAGAAGTCTGACCTTAAGGCCGAGGGGGAAGAGGCCCCTCCGCCCAGGGGGCCTACCCAAGCGGGCACGCCTGCCTCTAGCCCAGCGGACGCTCCGGAGAGTCCCCGCACTGTGCTCCCGCCGAGCCAGAGCCGTCTGACCAGCGAGCAGCCAGGCTGTCCCTCTTCCTAAGAGCCCGGGGCCTCTGCTGAGGGCGCAACGGACAGACACCCGAGGCGCTCACACCTGGACCCTCTCCCGACAGACATCACAGCGCTCGGCTGGTCTGTGACCCCACTTCAATCTCCCATCCCCACCAGGAACCCCAGGGTCCGTCCTTGTCTCACTCCCTCCCCCACCCCCAGAGCGGACCGAACATCAACCCGCAGGCTGGCTGCGGGTGAGGAAGAGGAGGAAGCGGAGGGAATGCGCTCACATTCCCAGCAGCTTGGCTGGCCACACAGTTCCCAGCAGCTCCCTCTGCCAGCAAGTGTGGGGCAGGGGGAGCCCCTCAAGGGAGGTGGCACCTGGATTCCCTCCCCATGGAGCAGACTCAGGGCGGAGCGAGGGCAGAGATGCCACCTGCGGCCGGAACCAGCCGTCCCCATGATGCTTTTCAGAAGCAGCCCTTTTTCTGGACCAGGAACGGATATATCCCCCAAACAGCTTTTTTTCTGGGACAGTCTGTGCCTCTGGGCTTGGGCCCTCTCGGGGCAGGGATGGAACCGAAGCAGGAGGCGCTGGGATGCGGCAGGCCCAGCAAGCGCGGGGCGGGCGGGCGGGCGCGGCGAGAGGCCGGTGCGGGCACAGAGAGAACACGAGCTTCCACCGAGCCCACAGACGCCAGCAGGCCGGAAAGACGCGGAAAGCGAACGGACAGACAGAAGCCCGGCGGGAGGCAGGAAGTGACGTCCAAGCGGACTGGGCCAGCGCTCCGCAGAGGATGCCCGGGAGCCCTGAGGCCCGCTCCCGGCTCCCTGCAGCGGCCGGCGCGTGCGGAGCGTGTCCTTCCCAGGCCGATGGAGCGTGGCAACCACAGGAGGCTCGTGGCTCCAAAGCCTCGGCCACGTACACGCGTAAAGCACTGGACCACGGTGCCGGGGGCTGCTCTGAGGTTGAAATGTCTCCATTTCAGGTGGCGGAGCGGTGACCGGCCACCGTGTGAGGGACAGTGTCTGCTGTAAACCCCGAGGGCCAGTCCGGTGGGCAGACCTGGCTCTGCAGAAGCGGTTGGGGAGCCCCTGGGAGCATAGCGGGTCAGAGGTCAGCACCCACAGAGGCCAACGCGGCTCCTCTGCAGGAAATGGGCCTGGGGTGAGGAGGGGGACGGGCACCCTAACAGCCCTGATGACATGTAAGCTTAGGGCTCCAGGGCGCCCGGCCTGACCTCTCCTTTGGGACCCAGAGCTGAGTCCAAGGCGGCTGGTACCCCAAAGCTCACGGTCACTGGGCAAACTCATTCGTCCACAGAGCCAACTATCCACAGGACAATGACTGACATTTCTTTGGAGAGCCACACTTTTAAAACTTAAAGTCCTTCTAACTTCTTCAAAATAGACTCGCCCAGGCCATGGTATTTTGTGGAAGAGCCACCCTCAAGGGGCCAAAGAGCCTCGCTTTGCCGACCACGGCTCTAGACATGTTGGCTTTCACCTTCCTGCCGAGGAGCCGCGGATGCCCTTCGCTAGGGGCCGGCCCCCTTCCCATGCAGACACAGGGCCAGGCCGCCCGCCATGGGATCTGCGAGATCGCTATGGAGGACCCTGTCGGGCAGATGGGAAAGACGGGAAGGAGAGGGAGAGCGGCTCCCTCCTCCTGGCTGACATTCTCCCTCGGGGCACACACTTCCTCTGGCAGCAGCTCCCAGCGTCAGCACGGGAGCCGCGGGGCAGGAGGTGGGCGCCCCGGGGTGAGTGCAGGGGTGTGAGCAGGGGAGTGACTCCCACCAAGGTCACGTTCAGCAGACTGCCACTCACCGGGTAAGCAGACCTCAGAGCACAGCGTATTGTCCAGTGCTTTCACGCTCGCGTTGTCAAAGTCATTGTTATTGTCACACTCCATGCCTAGAAACGCGCACGTCCTCTGGCCTGCAAGGGAGTGAACGCAGTTAGACGGGCGGCTGGTGCGCCTCTGCTCTGTGTCCTGAACGTACACATCTCAAAGATGGAGACAGACAGACCCGAAAATATGTTTTAAAAAAAAGGACAGTCACTGAGTGGGGAAAGAGAGGACGATAAAGGAATCACACTGTGTGGGCATGTTCCTGGTCTGACCTAGCCTGCCCTTGCCCTAACTGGCCCCCTTCCAGCCCAGCCTGGGGGGCGGGGGAGGCTGCTGACGGCTAGGGAGCTCTGCCAGGGGCGGGGGGAGCTGGGGACCCGTGGGCGTAGCTGCCCTACGCCTGCCTGTGCCTGTGGGCGCTGCTGTGTCTGTGGGTGCTGTGTGTCTGTGGGTGCTGATGTGTCTGTGGGTGCCGTCGTGACTGTGGGTGCCGCTGTGTCTGTGGGTGCTGTGTGTCTGTGGGTGCCGTTGTGTCTGTGGGTGCCATTGTGTTTGTGGGTGCTGTGTGTCTGTGGGTGCTGTATCTGTGGGCGCTCCTGTATCTGTGGGTGTCGTTGTGTCTGTGGGTGCTGTTGGGTGTGTCTATGACCTCAGGGCTCTGCAGGTGCTAAATACCAAAGGTCTCGCAGGTTCCCCAAGTTTGCAGATCAAGTCAATAACCACATTCACCAGTTAGGACCCATTTTCTCACGGGACTTAGGAAATTGTTATTTTGAAGACGTTTCAAAGGGACTAGTCAGAAACCTACAGACGTGAGAGAGGGGTGGGTAGAGTTTTAGCTCTTTTTTTTCAAGCTTCCTCTTTCTATTTCATTTCTTTTTTTAAAAAATATATATTTTATTGATTGTTTTTTAGAGAGGAAGAGAGAGGGACAGAGTTAGAAACATCGATGAGAGAGAGAGAGACATTGATCAGTTGCCTCTTGCACACCTCCCACTAGGGATGTGCCTGCAACCAAGGTACATGCCCTTGACCGGAATCGAACCTGGGACCTTTCAGTCCGCAGGCCGAAGCTCTATCCACTGAGCCAAACTGGCTTTGGCTCATTTCTTAAAAAAAAAAAAAAAAAAAAAAAGGATTTATATTATATATTTTACTGATTTTTTTAGAGAGGAAGGGAGGAGGAAATAGTGTTAGAAACATCTATGAGAAACATCCATCAGCTGGCTCCTGCACACCCCCTCCTGGGGATGTGCCCGCAACCAAGGTACATGGCCTTGACCGGAATCGAACCTGGGACCCTGAGTCCGCAGACCGAGGCTCTATCCACTGAGCCACACCGGTGAGGGAGAGGAAGACACACAGTTCCACCATGGGGGCTACGCAACGCCAGGGGGTAGCAACTGCGGCCTGAGCTTGTCAGGGGGCTGGGACAGTCCCACCGGGAGCCGGGAGCACTGAGGACCCGGGCCTCGTCGAGGAGGCGCCCCAGCCGTCTCGGTCTGCGTGCAGAGGGCGGCCGTCCCCTCCTTCAGGGCGACTTGGCCAGGCAGTGGCCAAGCCTGCATGCGCGCCCCTGAACTCCCCAAGCAACAGCCAGCGCTGAAGCGGAAGCGATGAGGGTGGTGCCTGCACGCCCACCCCGCCCTGCCGGGCCGGGTCTGCTTTGGGGGTGTCCTTCCGGAGCAGAGGGGAGAGCAGAATTCCATCCCCAGCCTGACCCGGCCCCGCCCCCACTCCCCCCGCCCTGGCTCTGCAGGTCACTGTGCTCTTGTCCGCCCCAGAAACAACACCGCTGGACCTGAGGGTGCCCGCAGGCCTGAGAAAACCACTCCGGCAGCTACCGAACCCCCGCCCGCCCCGCCCCGCCCCGCCCCGCCCCTGGCTCCTGGGATTCCCGGTCCCAGCCCCATCCTCCTACAGCAACACCCAACCCTCCTACAGCAACCCCACCCGAAGCCCAGGCCTTCCTCCCACCCCCAGCCGGGGCGCTGGGCTCCGGGGCCGGCTGGGAGCCGGAGCAGGACGGCAGGCGGTGGGAGCTGGCAGAGAACGCGTTAGACATAAAGGGGGAACCGTCCTCTGCCGCACCCCATCCTGACGGCACTGCGGTCCTCGGACACCCCATCCCATCAGGAAGGTGACCTTCCCCCGGGGCACACGGCTGAGGAGTCGTGTCCCGTCCCCCCCCCCCCGCCCCCCCTCGGCCAGGGCCCCTCTGTGCCTGGGAAGAGCAGAGGAGGGAGCGGAGGCCCGGTGGGTCGGTTACCGTCTTCCTGGGTGGGGGACGCGTCGTCTTCCTCCATGACCTCGTTTCCCTGCAACAGAAGGCGGGCGCCTGAGGCTGCAGCCATGGAGCACAGGGACGGAACAGGGCGGGGCGGGATGCCGCCCCCTGTGCACCGGAGATCTGTAAGTCACCGCAGCGGCCTCTGTGCACAGCTCCCCCTGCAGCCCGGAGACAGTGGTCCCAGGACAGTGCGGCCCGAACTCCTCACCCACCCGGTGTGCAGCCCAGGGGGAGAGCTGGACTCAGCAGGGGCCTGGGAGGCGGGCAGAGCGGTGGCCTGGTCTGGGGCGTGCTTCGGATGCGGGCTGGACGTGCCGGCAGTAGCCTGGGCCTGGGTCAGCTGTCCTGCTTTCCAAGGTGGGATCAGGGTCCCAGGAAACAAACCCTTCTGATGGCAAACCCCATCCAGACACCCCTCTAGGACATGTGGCTCCAGAAGTTCTAGAAGTTCCTGACCCTCCCTGTGAGCCGGGCGGTCAGCACACCTTGGTCAAGGCCCTTCTCACGCTGCATTGTCACCCATCTCCCCGTTTGGGGGGTTCAAGGGAGGGAGCAGGCAGCAGCCAGGCCACCCAGGCCTTTATGGCCCCCGGGCCAGCAAGACCCGCACCCCAGACCCCCATGTAACAGCCACTAAGTGACTGGAGGACAAAAGGTGCTCGAAGCCCGCTCAGAGCCGTAACCCGAGACCAGCGCCCTCTGCTCACTGGACACCCCACCCCCTGCAGCTGCTCAGCATGCCTGGCCCGAGCGCCACCTGGGAAGGACTGTTCCGGAACAGCGCCCCTGCTGTCCTCTTCCCTGCCAGCACCAGGGCCCTCTGACCTCCGACCTCTGGCGGGAGGGGCGCCACGTCCCCTGTGGGGGTTACCTCTGCGTCCTGCTCGTCAGCCAGGCCCACGAAGTTGCTGTCCGGGGATGCCGCCGGCATCGCCTGCGAGAGGAACGGGAATGGAGGTGCGACACCCGCCTCTCAGCAAACCCCAACCGTGTCCTCGGGACAGAACTGGTGCCAAGCAGCCCCCGCCGGTGTGGCCCAGTGGATAAAGCGCCCTCCTTCAGCCCAAAGGGTCCCGGGTTCGATTCCAGTCAAGGGCACGTACTTCGGTTGCAGGCCCCTCCCCAGCCCCAGCCCTGGTCGGAGCACGTGCAGGAGGCAACCCATCGATGCGTTTCTCTCACATGGATGCTTCTCTCTGTCTCTCCCTCTCTCTTCCATTTTCCCTAAAAACCAATGGAAAAGTGTCCTCGGGTGAGGATTAAAAAAAAAAAAGTGCCCAGCAGTCTGGCCTGAGGGAGAGCCTGGGCTCCAGCCCCCCATCTCCGTGGCTCCGCTGCCCAGCCCGTGGGGCGCTCGGATGTGTGGCCCGGAGAACAGGGACGCCCGGCCGGCCTTACCTCGCCTTCCTCGGAGGCGGCCCGGCTGGCGGCCCGCGGGGAGGGGAGCGCCTCCCCTTCGTCCTCCGTGCCCGTGCCCGTGCCGGGGGCGACGTAGGAGCCGGACATGGAGGAGACGGTGTCGGTGCTGAGCTGGGAGTGCTGGCTCTGGGAGGACACCATGGACATGACCGACGGGGCCAGGCTGCTGCTGGCAGGGTCTGCGGAGAGGGAGGGGGAGGAGGAGCCGGGTCAGCACGGGCTCCAGCCGAGCGAGGGTCTGAGCCCCGACCCTGCCCCGCGCAGTGAGGCCACAGTGGCCTGGCCTCCCCTCTCCGAAGGGGTTTTAGATGGAAGGTTTTCCTTTTTATCCTTTTTAAAAGCATGTTTTTATTGGTTTCAGAGAGGAAAGGAGAGGGAGAGGGAGAGAGAAACATGGATGATGAGAATCTTTGACCCATTGCCTCCTGCACGCTTGGGGCTGAGCCCCCAAGACGGGCCTGTGCCCTGACGGGGAACGGAGCCGTGACCTGGTTCCCAGGCCCACGCTCACCACTGAGCCACCCGGCCGGGCTGGATTGAAGGTTGTCCAGGGCTCTGCTCCTTTGCATTTAGAGCTTAGAACTCACTCCAGACCAGGGATTTGCAGGACAGTGGGTGAGACAGTGCTTGTCCCCCCCATTCGCCCCGGGGACAGCCAGTCCCTCCCCCTCCAGGGGGGCCGGCTGGGCACCAGCTTAGATGTTCGCTCGCTGCCCAGGTCTGTCTGCTCCAGAGGAATAGGGCTGAGGACTGGCCGGGGGTGGGAGAGGTGGGGGACGCGCCGCCCTCCCAGCTCCCTCGCGTACCTTCCGGGGAGGAGATGGTGGACGAAAGGGGCGTCCCTGTGCACGACGACTGGTCAATGGCTCCTGACGACGACAGGGTGAGGTTCTCACTGTCCGGAGTGACGCCACACTCCTGGGCGACAGGGAGGGAGCACAGTCAATCAGAGAGAGGGCGGGAGGCAGGGCGAGGGGACGCTGGGAGGGCCGGGGTCCCCACGGCCACGGCCACGGCCACGGGTACATGAAGGCCCTGTCATCGCCGTCTCCGGCCCCGTCCGGAGGCCGCTCCCAGGGGAGAGCAGACCTGTCGGTTTGTCCTGCCTGCGGCACGGCATTTGCCGGCCACAAAGCCTGGGCTCGGGTGACACAGGTCAGCGGCAGCTGTGACACGGGACACCCAGCCTTCCTTCTGCAGGGAAGGGACAAAGAGGCAGAGGCCGCCCGCCCGCCGGGCACCCCCACTTGGAAGCCGGGCTAGTTCCGGCTCAGTCTTCTCCCACAACAGCCCCTTCCCCGGCCCGCCCTGACACCCCAGCCCTCAGCCAGCTGGGCCGGCCACCCCAGCCACCCCCACAGATGCAAAGTCCCAGGGGTTCTACCTCCACAGCCCGTTCCCTTTTCTCCGGGCTGCCTACTTTCTCTCTCTTTTTAAAATATACTTTTATTGATTTCAGAGAGGAAGGGGAGAGATGGAAATATCCATGATGAGAATCATTTATCGGCGGCCTCCTGGGGATCGAGCCCACAACCCAAGCACGCGTCCTGACTGGGAATCGAACTGGTGATCTCTTGGTTCATAGAGAGATGCTCAACCACTGAGCCACAAAAGCCAGGCCCAGTGTGCTTTTCTGACCCCAGCTCCGGGGTCCGCTCCCACCAGGCTCAGTGTCTCCCCCCGATCCATCCCCACAGCCCCAGCCGGGGGCCTTCCGGGAACACACCTCTCCCCAAACCACTGACGGCTCAGAGCCTGGACGTCTCCCCTACCCAACGTTCCCCCCTTTGCTCTTCATTTCTGAGGATTCCCACGTCTGGCTCCGTGCCATCCTCTCTCATGCTCGGTTTTCTCCACGTGCCATCGCTCCCACCTCTGCTCCAGCCTAACGGTTCCTATCCTTCAATTCATTCATTCATAGAACACTTCCCTGACTGTGCCAGATCCTGCACATGCCCTGTCCCCCCTGGTCCTCAGCTCCTGAGGGCAGGTCCCCGCTGTCACCCCCGCGAGCGCTGCCGGCTACCTCTCCGGGCTGCGGGGCGGCTGGCCGTGGGGAGAGGCGCGTCTCCGAGTCGCTGCAGGAGTGCTCGTCCTCCTCCTCGCGCAGCACGGAGGAGCTCTGGGAGACGGACCTGTGGGAGGAACAGCCGCTGAGCCGCTGCCCAGTGAAGAACGTTCCCCCAGACCCCGCAGGGAGGGGCGGGCCGCGGGGAGCACCCCAAATCCCGAGGCGCGGGAGGTGAGCGGAGCGCCGGGAGGGACCGAGACCGCTTGTGGGCATCAGAGCATCTGAGTTTCCTCTTCGGCTCTTTCCATCGTTGTGTGTGAACCCGGGGAAAACACTATCATTTCCCCCATCTTCATGGTTTCATCTGTAACGGGTGGGGAACGTCCGGCCCGCGGGCCGGGCCTCCGAGGCCTGCACAGTCACTGGGTCTGGCCCCGCCACAACAGCAGGAGTGAGTCCATTTTAACTTGGCCCGAGAGGGACGCTATGCACACCCAATGGCCCTGGGCAGGAGAGAGGTCCCCCCCTGGTGTCCATGCGACAGGAAGCTTACCCGTCTGAGCCTCAAAGATACAAACCCCAAGATTGCTGTACTGGTCGCCTTCAGACTAAATGATGCCCTAGCCCAGTGGTCGGCAAACTCATTAGCCCACAGAGCCAAATATCAACAGGATAATGATTGAAATTTCTTTTGAGAACCACATTTTTTAACCTTACACTTCTAATGCCACTTCTTCAAAATAGACTGACCAGGTCGTGGTATTTTGTGGAAGAGCCACACTCAAGGGGCCGAAGAGCCGCAGGTGGCTCGAGAGCCGTAGTTTGCCAGCCACGGGCCCAGACCCCATCCCTCCCCTCCCAACAGGACGCCTGCTCTCTGGTCCCCCATCACACCCCCTCTCCTAAGGGACAGGGCGCACTCCCCCAGGGATCGGGGAAACGAGCAGCTCTGGGAACGGCCCAGCGGGCCCACCCTGCTGGGCACCCAGGGCGGAGGGCGCCGAGGAGGTGGGGGACCCCAGGCCAAGCGGGGTGCCTGGCGGCTACTCACTTGGAGAGACTCCTCTTGAGCCTGAGTCCTTGGCCGCTGTCGGGCAGGCGGTCGAGCGGGGAGAGCGCCCGCACGGGGGCCGGGGGGCCGTCGCTGCCGTAGGCGGGCAGCATCCCTGAGAGGTGGCCGTCACCCAGCACGTGGAGGGGCGGGACCGCAGGGGACGGGGCGAGCGGCCCGTTGAGGGCCTCCAGCAGCGACACCACCTCGTAGCCCGGCGGGATGTTCTCGGAGGACTAGGGGAACCACACAGGGTGGAGGGGATCAGCCAGGCCGTGTGCGCGGCTCAGCGGTCCTGTCGACCTGTGACCCTGGCAGGGCGCACAGCCGGGCTGCAGGTTCAATCCCCGGTTGGGGTGTGCTGCTGGAGGCGACCAGTCGATGTTCTCTCTCAGATCAATGTTTGTCTCCCTCTTTCTCTCTCTCTCTCTCTCTCTCTCTCTCTCTCTCTCAAATCAACAAACATATCCTCAGGTCAGGATTAAAAAAAAAAAAAAAAAGTAGCCGAAACCAGTTTGGCCCAGTGGGTAGAACGTCAGCCTGCAGGCTCAAAGGTCCCAGGTTCAATTCCGGTCAAGGGCATGTACGTTGGTTTCGGGCACATCCCCAGTAGGGGTTATACAGGAGGCAGCTGATCGATGTTTCTCTCTCATCGATGTTCCTAACCATCCCTCTCCCTTCCTCTCCATAAATAAATCAATAAAATATATATTTTTTAAAAAGTAGAAAGGGGTTGGGGAACCATCAATAAATCACCCAAAGTGATAACTTTATTAGTATTCTGTGTATTTTCTTCCAATTCTCCCCTCCATACAGTTTCCACAGCTACGATCTGCCTGTGATAACACCTTAGCTCCTGCGTCTTCACCCGCACAGTTCACGCACCTCCTCCCCGCTGCCCCCCCCCGCTGGCCCCTGACAGCGCCTGGTCCTGCCCCCCCGCCGGCCCCTGACAGCACCCGGTCCTGCCCCCCCAGACCCCTGACAGCGCCTGGTCCTGCCCCCCTGGCCCCTGACAGCGCTCGGTCCTGCCCCCCCCCCGCCCCCTGACAGCGCCCGGTCCTGCCCTCCCCGGCTCCTGACAGCGCCCGGTCCTGCCCCCACGGCTGGCTCCTTGTGTCGGATGTTCCGACGGTGACAACAGCCCGAGGCATGTCCCTGTGCCTAAGTCTTTTTTCAGATGATTTCCTTGGTATTAAATTCTTAGGCCAGAGATCTCCACGTATAATTGTGTTTAAGGCTCCTGACATACACAGCTGTTCCCACCCCACCCCACTATCTTTCTAGTTACCCTCCTCAGAGCAGAACAGAAAGCCTACTGAATTCTGCTGGCATGGAGTCTCCTCAAAGAGGTTTTTTCCAATCTGAAAGGTGAGAAATGGTGTCTCCCATTCATTTGCATATTGCTGTTTTTTTTTTGTATTTTTTAAAATGTATTTTTATTGATTTTACACAGAGAGGAATTGAGAGGGACAGAGAGTTAGAAACGTCGATGAGAGAGAAACATCGACCAGCTGCCTCCTGCACACCCCCCACTGGGGATGTGCCCGCAACCAAGGTACATGCCCTTGATCGGAATCGAACCCGGGACCTTTCAGTCCGCAGGCCGACGCTCTATCCACTGAGCCACACCGGTCCCAGCAAGCATATTGCTGATTTTTAATGTGGCCGACTTTGAAAGCAATGCGTGTGACCCTGCTGTGCTTCCTCTTCTGAGAACTTTTTGATATCTTTGAACATTTTTTATCTGTTTCATGCACAGGAGCTACAGCTGAGACACCGGCTTTCCTCTGATGTGAATGCTGTGTAGGCATTTTTTTCTTTATACGGGTGGTTGTTTGCTTTTCAATTTTGGTCATGTCTTACACATCTGAAACCCAAAAAACTTTTTAAAGCTCCTATGTTCTGTTTTGTCTTTATTGACTTTTTTTTTTTTTTTTTAAGAGGAGGAAGGGAGGAGGAGAAAAAAACACTGATTGGCTGCCTCCTGCACGGCCCCCGATTGGGGACTGAGCCCGCACCCTGGGCATGAGCCCCGGCCGGGAATGGAATTGGTGACTTTTGGGGCCTGGGTTGATGCTCAACCATTGAGCCACACTGGCCGGGCTAAAATGTAAATCTGTCACGTGGTGAAATGTGCGGTCTTGGTCCGTTCTGTTCCACTTTAACCTCTCCCGTCCAAAGTCCACCAGCAAGTCCCCGGTGCCTCATCCCAGCCTTTTAACCACGTTCTGCTTGGTTTGCTTTGTTTGGAATATAGTTCGCTGGTTACTCCATGTGCAATCTGTTATCTGGTAAGGAGTAAGCTACACTGATTTTTCCTCCCAGAGAGCTAACTGATTATCCCAGTACCACTCACTGAACTGTAGGTCCAGTGTGGGAAATCTAAGGAAAGTCAGCATCTGCTCCGACACTACACCTTGCACTACAAAACGGAGGGGGATACCTTCATATGCTCGGCTCCCAGCCCCTGAGCCCACCAAATGGGATAAAGAAAACCAGTTATCGCCTGGCCAGTGTGGCTCAGTGGTTGAGCATTGACCTATGAACCTGGAGGTTACGGTTTGAGTCCCTGTCAGGGCACACGATCCCCAGGAGGGGGTGTGCAGGAGACAGCAGATCAATGATTCTCTCTCATCATTGATGTTTTTCTCTCTCTCTCCCTCTCCCTTCCTCTCTAAAATAAAAATATATATATTAAAAAAAAAAGAAGAAAAAAGAAAAACAGTTACCTCCCTCGAGGACTCAGATAAAGACAGTAAACTGTATCCCAACCTAAGACGACCACCCCCTTATTTCTGCTTGGGGGAGTCCCGGAGGAAGTCCGGGGGGGAGGGGGGGTCTGCAGGGGGGAAGTGGGGAGGGCTCTAGGCACGGCCACCACCATCAGGACACCGAATCCCCAACCTCACACTGCAGGCTGGTTTCCAGGCGACACGGGCTCACCCAGCTCCCTGCCCGCTCCGGCCGCAGAGTCACGTACACGCGGGGCCACGGGTGAGCGGAGGAGAGAGACCTCCCGTGGCTTCCCGGGGGCCTGGTTCCGAGCCCGACTCACCGAGTGCTCCTCCGAGTCGGACGTCTGGGCGGAGATGATGGGGTTGAAGCTGGTGGGGGACAGGGGGCCCAGCTTCTTCCTCATGGCGCGGATCTGCAGCAGCGCCCGGAAGGCTGCGGGGACAGAGAGGGGCCGTCAGGCCGCAGGGGCGCGGGGGTCGAACAGAGACCGCCTCCCGCTCCCGCGGCCGGGTGCCCGGGCTCACGCAGGCGACAGATGGGGCAGTTGTTGGCCTGGTAGCGCAGCGTGTCGGCGCAGGTGTTGCACAGGCAGAGGTGGCGGCAGGGCAGGATGAGGGTGTCCCGCACGTCCGAGAGGCACACCACGCACTCGGCGCTGTTGTCACTCACCTCGTCCTCGGCCACCTGCGGGAGACGGGGCAGAGCGGGGGAGACGGGGGCTGAGCTGGGGGGGGCGGGGGACTGAGCCCAGGACAGAAGACACTGTCTAGACAAGGCAGTTTTTGAAGAACCGAGATGAGAAACAGGCGCGGCTCCGTCATCAACCCAAGAACCAGAGGTCACTGGTTCGATTCCCGGTCAGGCACATGCCCCATGGCAGGCTCGATCCCTAGTGGGGGGTGTGCAGGAGGCAGCCGATCAAGGCTTCTCATCATTGATGTTTCTCTCTCTCTCTCTCCCCCTTCCTCTCTGAAATCAATTTAAAAGAAAGAAAAAAATGAAAAAGAAATAGGAACAGAAGCTTATACTTTCATCGGACGTGACACTTTACCAAGTGCGTTCACATTCAGTCTCACGGGCTCTGGAAACTTCTATGAGGCTCACGCTGTGAGGCTGATGTGCCTCTGACCAGTGGGGCCGTGGGGCCGAGCCGAGCCCACGGGGAAAAGGATGGGTTTAACGATCAGTGTCCAGAAGGCTGGCCAGCAAGCGGGGGGAGGACCAGGGGAGGGGGTATCTCAGAGACTGACCAGAGTGAGTTAAGCACAGTCCTCTGAAACGGGGGCAGGAAGAGGCTCTCGGGGCCGCGCCAACGGCGGAGTGCGGTGCCCAGCCTCCCGTCCCGGTGTTACCGAGGGCTTGGCGCGCTGCCCCCGGGAGGACAGGCAGCACGCCGGGGGGACTCGCCTTGGCATCCTGCGTGTTGTACTTGTTCTCGATGCCGTAGATCTCCTGGAGGAGGTAGCTGACCCCGTCCACCTGCACAGCAAACACAGTGTCACGGGCAGGCTGACCCCGGCACAGGTCGGAGCGGCCGCCACGCCCCGCCTGGGCAGCGAGGGCTGCGGGTCACGGCGGGGAACACCGAAGGCTCTCTGCTTGAGAAACACCATCGGTGGTTTGAGGTTTCCACCACCGGGACTCACATGATCAGAGGCATGTGCTGTCCTGCCCTTACCATCGCCCACCGCTGAGAAAGGGGCAGACTAGCCCTGGCCGGTTTGGCTCAGTGGATAGAGCGTCGGCCTGTGGACGGAAGGGTCCCGGGTTCAATTCCGGCCAAGGACACACGTCCAGGTTGCAGGCTTGATCCCCAGAGGGGGACCTGCAGGAGACAGCCGATCCAAGATTCTCTCTCATCATGGATGTTTCTATCTCTATTTCCCTCTTCCTTCCTCTGTGAAAGCAATAAAAATAATTAAAGAGAAAAAAAGGAAGGGGCAGACTAGAAGTGTGGGAGAAGACGCATCCCAATGTAACCTCAGCTGTGGCGTGGACGTCAGGGTGACACACCCTGAAAAGAGAGGCGTGGAAGAGAAAGAGGAGAAGAGCTGGGTAAGGAAGGGGGGAGAGAGAAACACAGAAGGGAGGGATCTTAGAAGAGGCCGGCTGAGGCCCCCCCCCCCCCCCCACAGAGCTGCCCATCTCCAACACACAGCAACATCACCCTCTAACCCTTGTTTCCTATATTTTTTCTTTTAAAAAATATATTTGTATTGATTTCAGAGCGGGAGGGAGAGGGAGAGAAAGATTGAAACACCCATGATGAGAGAGAATCTATGGATCGGCTGCCTCCTCCTGCACGCCCCCCACTGGGAACAAGCCCGCAATCCAGGCACATTCCCTTGACCAGAATTGAACCTAGGCACCTTCCGTCCCCAGGCTGACGCTCTATCCACTAAGCCATACCGGCCAGGCCAGCCCTTGTTTCTTAAAACTCCACCTTCAACACCCAGGCTCAGTCCCATGAGCCTGGGCCCCAGCGGTGCTGATGCCGGTGCTGGCCCGTCCCTGGTTTCCCTAACCCAGGCCCCGCGCTTCAGCCTGTCCTGTCCCTGATTGCATACCCCACCCTCCAGCCTGACCAAGCCGGTCACTAATGCTGCTTGAGCTACCGAAGGCCATCTTCCCTGAGCTTCTGCAGCCAGCCACCATATCCAGGCAGTGCCTGCTCTGCCTCTCTCAAAACATCTCTGAAACAGCCAGCCTGGCTCAGTGGCTGAGCGTCAACCTATGAGGCAGAGGTTATAGTTCGATTCTGGGTCAGGGTACAGGCCCCAGCTGTGGGCTCAATCCTAAGTGTGGGGCGTGCAGGAGGCAGACAATCAATGATTCCCTTTCATCACTGATGTTTCTCTCTCTCCCTTCCTCTCTGAGATCAATAAAATTATGTTGAGAAAGAGAGAGAGAGAGAGAGAGAGAGAGAGAGAGAGAGAGAGAGAGAGAAAAGCAGAGAGAAAGAGGAGGAGAGGGCACAGCAGCCGCCCTCCGGACTCACCACTTGCTTCTGCTTGAGGGGCTTGACGCAGAAGGTCCCGTCCGAGTGCTGCAGGGAGACGGGGCGGTGAGGACCGGGCGCAGGCAGGCACCCGCCCCGGCGCCTCTCTCCGCAGCACGCGGTCTGGGAGCCCTGGGGGGGGGGGGGGGCTGCGGGCTCCCGGGCTGGCAGGGCCTTGCCCGCGTCTGGTCTGACCCTTCCGTTTGGAGGGGAAGAGAAGGGGCCTCGGGGTGGAAGGTCACTCACGATTGGTGGCAGAGCTGGCGCTCGGCCCCGTGGAGCCCCAGACCTCCTCCCCCAGCCCGGCCTCCCCCAGCCCCGGCCTCCCCCAGCCCCAGCCTCCCCCAGCCCGGCCTCCCCCAGCCCGGCCTCCCGGGCCAGAGCCACCTGCTGAGCTCAGGCGGCCGGGACGGGGCTGCCCTGTCCCCCAGGAGAGAGGCGAGGCCCTAGAAAGCCACGCACTCACCTTCTCAAAGGTGCCCAGCAGCACGTGGCAGTGGCCGAAATACTCTGGAGGAAAGGAAGGCACATGGATGAGGAAGGAAAACAAACGACCACCTGACACCCCCGCCCTGTCCCCGATTCCCTGCGGTCCGTGCCCTCACGACGGGGGCACATTACGGAACCCGGGGTGTTCTTGCCACAGACGGCCCTGGGGACACGAGTGGGGGAGGGGGTGCAGACACTGCCCAACACCCACAGGGGCGGCCAGGCTGCCCCAGGCCTCGTGCCCCAAAAGGAGACAGAGGTCCGTACCGTCTCCTTCGTCCACCACGGCGTGGACCACCAGAGGGTAGACCTCCCGGTCCAGATCAAAGCCAAGCTGCAGGGAAAGCGAGGAGGGAAGAAAGCACACGTTTAGCGGCACCGGGCCATCAGAAAGCCGGGCGTTATCAAGAACCTCGTCTCTACCGCCAGCGCGTCGACCTATGAACCAAGAGGTCACGGTTCGATTCCTGGTCAGGGCACATGCCTGTGCATCGTGCTGAATCTACAGTAGAGGGCGTACAGGAGGCAGCCTTTCAATGATTCTTACCAAAGATGTTTCTCTCTCTCCCTCTTCCTCTCTGAAATCAATCAATATATACACTGAGTGGCCAGATGATTATGATCTCTGAACGCATAATAATCTGGCCACTTAGAGTCTATTCTATATAATAAAAGGCTAATATGCAAATTGTCCCCTTGACCAGTAGTTCAACCAGCAGGCAGCCCAACAGCCCATGTCCCCTCCCCCTGGCCAGACCCCACCCATGCACAAATTCATGCACAGGGCCTCTAATAAATATATATATATATATATATATATATATATATCCTGGATGGCCTGATTATTATGCGTTCAGGGATCATAATATGGCCACTGTGTGTGTATCTTATTTAATAAAAGAGTAATATGCATATTGACCATCACTACAACACACAATAGCTGCCCCCATGTGGTCAAAGATGGCTGCCCCCATGTGGACACAAGATGGCCAGCAGAGGAGGGCAGTTGGGGCCAAAGAGCAGCATGTGGCTCGAGAGCCGCGGTTGGCCAACGGCGGCTTAAGGGTGTGGAGGCGTTACGAGGCTGAAGGTGAGCGTGACCTCTGGGCGCCTGGGCAGCCAGTCCCGTCGCTGCTGGCCGCGGTCCTCAGAGCTCCCGGGCCCACGGGCCCTGCCCCGCGTGCCCCCCCCCGGGGGGCTCACCTCCTCGTCGGCCCACTCGGAGGGGTCCACGGTGTGGGAGGGCAGGCAGAACTGCTGGCACACGCCGCGCTTGTAGTGCACGGTCTCCGACTGCAGGCTGCCGTCTCGGGGGATGTAGCTGCCGGCCAGAGCGGGAGCGGAGCGGCGTCAGCGTGTGGCCCCAGCAGCCCGGCCATGTCCTCCGCTAACGCCTGCCCTGTCATCCGCTCTCCGGTGCCGGGAGGACGCCAGCAGACCGGGCCTCCCGTAACCCACGGCCTCGGCTCCCGACAGGTGATGCGATCAAACCCGTCTGTGCGGCCACCGGCCAGGCAGGGTCGCTTTATAGGGTTCTAACTGTAATGTAACGACCTGAAGGCTCTGCCGCCGCCTGCCAGGCACCCACGTGGCACCACTTAAAGGGCAACGGGCAGAGGCGGGGCCTCTATGTCCGGCTGGCGTGGCTCAGCGGGTGAGCATCCGTCTATGGGTCAGGAGGTCACGGTTCGATTCCCAGTCAGGCAGGGCAGGGCACAGCTCAATCCCCAGTGGGGGGCGTGCAGGAGGCAGCCGATCAACGATTCTCTCCTATCATGGATGTTTCTCTCTCTCTCTCTCTCTCCCTTTCCTTCCTCTCTGAAATCAACAGAAATATTTTTTTTTTTTTAAAGTAGGGTTGTCCTAACCGGTGTGGCTCAGTGGATAGAGCGTCGGCCTGCAGACTGAGAGGTCTCAGGTTCAATTCCGGTCAAGGGCATGTACCTTGGTTGCGGGCACATCCCCAGTGGGGGGTGTGCAGGAGGCAGCTGATCAATGTTTCTAACGCTCTATCCTTCACCCTTCCTCTTTGTAAAAAATCAATAAAATATATGAAGGAGGAGGAGGAGGAGGAGGAGGAAGAGGAGGAGGAGGAGGAGGGGGAGAAAGCCCACGTTCCAGAGCAGCTCTCGCCCGGTGAGCGCGGCGTGAGGGTGGGCCCCGGGTGGGCTGCGGGGCTGGTGGCCCCGGCCTGCGCGTACCTGGCGATGCCGTTCTGGAACTCCTCGGTGGCCTGGTAGTAGATGGTGATGGCCACGCGGGCGTCGGTGTCGAAGGTGAACTCCACGTTGTAGTGGACCTTAGCTCTGCCGGCCTCGGCCCCCGGCGCCTTCACCTCCTCCGCGCACCTGGCAAGCACCCAGCCTCAGCGTGCGGCGGCACCCCGGCATTTACACGCTTTCAACTGTGACACAGCGTGGCTGCCTCCGCCCTGAGCCCGCTCCGCCCTCCTCAGGGTGGCGGCAGGGGGCGTCACTGCCATTGCCACGGGCGGGCGGTGGCCGCTGATACTTCACGCGCGACAGCGAGCGTCCCTCGCCTTTGCCCGACAGCATTGACGCTCATTTCTCATCGGAACCGAGGTTCCTAGTCACGTAGCTGACACAGTTTCCTAAGCCCCCGCCTCTCCCTTCCCGCCTCCTCCAGCCTGTCCCCCAGGGAGCCCCGAAGCTCAGCGGAGGTGGCATCTGCTTAAAGCGGACGCTGAAGCCCTCGCCGGTGTGGCTCAATGGGTAGTGTCAGCCTGTGGACTGAAGGGTTGGACTCCGGACAAGGGCACATGCCCGGGTTGTGGGTTTGATCCCCAGTGTGGGGTGTGCAGGAGGCAGCCGGTCAGTGATTCTCTCATCATTGATGTTTCTCGCTCTCCCTCTCCCTTCCTCTCTGACATCAATAAAATATTTTTAAAGACACACAAAAACAGCAAAACGCCTGCCACCGTCTCAGGAACAGCCAAGAGAAGGCAAATGAGGGACAATTAACACGATGGGCACGAAGCTGCCAGCTGGGAACTGAGTGTCTGGCGTTATGAGGTTAAGAATAAATGTAAAGTGGATGTAAGCGATGAGTAAGGATTGCCTATTCCTAGTTCAAACAGCTCATCTCTCCACAGGCGTGTGGAGGGTCTGCAACTTCACCTTCTCCCGCAATATTCTTCTTTTAAAAGAAACTCATCAGGCAGGGCCTGCATGACGGGGCCAGGGAAGGGCGAGTGCTCGCACTCACAGACTTCAAGGTGGAGCTTCAACAGTCTCCATGCAGAGTCCGACCCAGGCAGGTCCGGGTGCGGCTCTGGGGCCGGGAACTTACTTGACGAGCCGCAGGGTGTCCTTGCGGATGTTGACCAGGCTCCGCAGCGTCTTCACCGGCTCCTGGGGGGGCGGGGCGGCGTAGGGGAACTGTCGGGCAGAGGGGGAGAGGACAGCACGTGAGTGAAGACCGGTGGCTGCCCGCCCTGGCACAGGCCTCACCGCCTTAGGAGGCGAGGTGGGCGGGCGCCAGGCTCAGCTCCGGGAGGGCACGGACAGCCGCCTCAGCGAGTAGACGTGCTCAAGGTCACGGCCCGTAGGACTGGGATTGGACTTGGCGTCAAAAGAGTGAGATTAGCCCGGCCGGGTGGTTCAGTGGTTGAGTGTCGCTCTGTGAACCAGGAGGTCATGGTCCGATTCCCGGTCAGGGCATGGGCCCGGGTTGCAGGCTCTCTCCCCAGTAGGGGGAGGCAGCAGATCCATGATTCTCTCTCATTATTGATGTCTCTCCCTTCCTTTCTGAGATCAATAATAAAAACACGACTTTTTTACAAGAGAGAGATTTACCTGCTTTCCCCATTCTCGGCTTATCTGGGTTGGCATTCACCCTGTGGGTACCTGACAAGAACGCCTCCAAGTACCAAACGCAGCTCCAGTACTGAGGACGCAGGTGACCTGTTCCTCAGAGGCTCTTCCATGTGACCATGGGCCACAGACGTGCCGGCCGGCGCGGGGCACGCTCCCCGCTCCCCGCTCCCCGCTCCCGGGCCCAGTTCCCGGCCCATTGAGGCAGCAGAGGCCCCTGAACGGGGCCTTGTGTCCCTGGCTGCCCAGCGCTGACCTCACCCTCTCCCCTGGGCGCCTGAGCGGAGGCCAGGAGGACCGAGAGGAGACAGTGACACGCTTAACGGGGGAGCTGCTTTCAGACGATGAAGCCGGTGTCCCCATGTCCTCAGTCCTGTCCTGACGCTCTGCGGACAATGAGCGAGTTTTGCGTCTCTCGTTCGCAGAAAACCCACTGGGCGTGCAGCTCTGCCCGAGCGTGGCGCTCCCGGGACAGCTCAGTCCCTCCGGGAGCCGGCGTCGGGGAGCAGCCCTCGGTCACGCTGCCGGGGCCGCCACGGGGTTCTGCTGACGGCGGTTCTGTCCCTCGGACAACACAGCCTACCGTGCGCCTGATTTTATGAAGTTGGTGTGATTGCTGATAACTCACATGCACACACATGACTCTTGAGGAAATACACGCAATCTGAACTGTCACGTGTGTATCCAATGGACCCTGTGTGTGGGCACACGTTACTTTCCTCACGGATACATTACACAGGCGTCCTTTTAAAATGCATGACGGCTGGTTTTTCTAATTAGACGCACGTGAATAATTATTCATTCCGACCGGCTACATCTGAAAAGAAACGTCAATTGAACTCTCAGAAAAAAAGCGTGTCCATATTTATTTTTTTTTGGGGGGGGGATGACACCCTGTATTTAAGCAGAAAAGTTGAAAAGCACACGAAAATGTACAAAATCAGCCCTAACCCGTTTGGCTCAGTGGGTAGAGCGTCGGTCTGTGGACTCAAGGGCAGCGCTAGAAGCACTCATGCTTTCATCCATCCCGTCTTCAACCCTGGCTGGCGCCGGTGTCACCTTGTGTATGTCTGTGTTTTGTTTTTCTGACATAAATGTGTGAGCGCCTTGGTCCTACTTTTCTGCCTGCTCGTCGGATTACCTCCTTAGGATAAGTTCCTAGATGTGGGATCACTGGATCAAAGGGTAAGCGTGTTTTTTAAGAGTTTTACAAATGCTTTTGCCAAACTGTTCTCCAGAAAGCTGGCTCTGATTCCCTCTCTCACCGGCCGCGTGTCTGGAGGCTTTTATTCAGGGAAGCTGGACACCCAGTCCGACCCGGCTGTGGCCCAGGTCTCCTCACCCCCTCCTTCTCCCCCCCACCCCACCCCCCGGTTCCACCAAAGGAATTTAAAACAATTTTCAAACACGCTTAAGCAAAAAGTAATTAGGGCAGGAAAATCCGACACAAACGCCAGTCTACTGTAAAGCCCAAGTAAATGACTCGGGGATTAAAATAGTTTTCTGAAGCAGCGAGTTAATCGTATCCGTCTGCACAGGTACCGGGAGGGGGCCGTCACTCTTCCCGAGTTTAAAAAAGTAAATAAAAGGCCAGGTCTTCCTTCACTCTTTGCCTTGTCTCCTCCACACCCTGCAAAAAATAAAAGCAACAGAAAAAAGGGGGGGGAAATCCAACAAAAACCTTGTGATCTTTGTCTTCCGTTTAGCATATGACCTGAGCCTTACTCCCTGTCACAAGGCACAGATCCATCTCACGCTCTGTCTGCCCGTCTCCCCTGGAGCTCGTCTTCCTTGTGAAAGGTGAGACGGGCCCGGCGCACGGCTCAGGGGTGAGCACTGACCTATGAACCAGGAGGTCATGGTTAGGTCCCTGTCAGGGCACACGCTCAGGTTGCGGCCTCGGGCCCCGGGAGGACACACACGGACACGCAGGGGCGCTGATGGCAGGGAGCTGCTCGCCCTGCGCCCAGGATGCCGGAACGTGAATTAATGTCAAAGGACAAGACGCTAGCCCCCTCACTCCACACCCGCTCTGCTCTACCTGCTGAGCCTGGGCCTGCGGGAGGGGCCGGCACCTCTGAGTTCCATCCGTCCAAGGCTGCCCCTGCTGCCCTGCCGGGGCACAGCACCCTCCGGGGCAGCCCACAAGCCTGAAGCTCAGAGTAATTTAAATCCCGAGTGCCTGGAGCCCAGGACGGGAGCATATCAGTGTGGGTTCAGTTCATTCAAAGGGGCCCCCCAGGAGGCTGCCAACCAAAACTCTGAGGAATACTGAGCCGGTTTCCTTTTGCCCTTAACCCTGGTGTTCACCAGTTTCCTTTCTTTCCCGTTTGTCTCACGTCAGCAAAGTGCCCCCTGGTGACCAAGTGTGGAACTGCTACTGTGTGTGTGTGTGTGTACACATCAATATGTATGTATGTATGTATATATATATATATATATATATATATATATATATATACACACACACTGAGTGGCTAGATTATTATGATCTCTAAACGTATAATAATCTGGCCAGTGTGTGTATACATACACATACACATACACATATACATACACACACACATTAGAGGCCCGGTGCATGAATTTGTACATGGCTGGGGAGGGGAGGTCTGGCCAGCCTGGCCAGGGGGAGGGAACATGGGTGGTTGGCTGGCCTGCCTGCTGGTTGAACTCCTGGTCAGGGGGACAATTTGCATATTAGTCTTTTATTACACAGGATATACACAGAGTGGCCAGATCATTACGCATTCAGAGATCACCATAATCCGGCCGCTCAGTGTATATTAACCATATATCCTAGGTATTGTTTAAGCCATTCTAATTTCAGCTCCCCCTACCAATGCACTCACATTTTGTTGTAGAAAATGTGGCCATAATTCAATACAATAATAGCAGGTACCTTGTTTCAGTGGTAAATTATTGGGCAATTCCCAGGAGTCTCTGAAAAGGACATAACCCAATCATAAAAATAAACACCTTTGGAAAAGCTTTCAAAGTACACGATGTGCTCATATTTGCTCTTTGTCTCAGCACATCCCCGATGTGGCCCTGGGTGCCCCCCCTGTGCCCCCCTCCTGTGGCCTGCCCCATCTTCTTATTTCTCTTTTTTGTTAATCCTCATGGAGGGTATTTTCCCACTGATCTTAGAGAAGGCGGAAGGGAGGGAGGGAGAGGGAGAGACAGAGAGAGGAACGTGGATGTGAGAGAGACACAAGTACAGGTAGCTTCCAGCATGTGGCCTGGCCGGAGCCAGGGATCGATCCTGCAGCCCAGGTGCATGTCCTTGATGGAAATCAAACCCTAGACCCTTCAGTGTGCAGGCTGATGCTCCAATCACTGAGCCACATCAGCCAGGGCTGCACTGATAAGAGTCTTTACTTAGAAAACAGGAAGCTCCAAATGCCAACAATCTGATTCCAAAGAAAAAGTAAATCATTTTAGGTAGTTTATAATTACAGTAGAAAAGTACTCATTTTGTACATTAGCAGGCATGTACTATTTGGGGCAAAGTACCTGATGATAGTTACTATGGCAACCAACATCTGGAAGCATGTGAGTAACTCCTTTATGGCTCTCCATAAAGCCGCTCATTGGTAGGTTTTATTTTATTATTTTTTAAAATATATTTTATTTATTTTTTACAGAGAGAAAGGGAGAAGGATAGAGCTAGAAACATCGATGAGAGAGGAACATGGACCAGCTGCCTCCTGCACTGGGAATGTGCCTGAAACCAAGGTACATGCCCTTGACCGGAATCGAACCCGGTACCTCTCAGTCCGCAGGCCAAACCGGTTTCAGCAGGGCTTTTCTATGTAAACTCCAGTTCCCTCTGTTAGCTGCCTGGCTGTTTTCTCCGCGTCCTCTGCTTCCTCTCTTCTCAGAAGCACGTGTCCCAGGCTCAGCGGAGGGTATTTTTGGCCTCGAGCAGCGCGTTCTGAGATCAGTGTCAGGGAGCGCGGTGCCGCCGCAGATTGGATGCAAATTCGCCTGTTTAACCAGCGGCTGCCGGGGCGGCGGCCGGGGCCTGCGGTCGACCCACGTGTCAGAGGCTCTATTTACGGCAGAAAAAGCCCCTTTCACTGAGTTTCCATCCCGTCCCCCTGGGAGCTCACGGCCACAGCAGAAAGGGGACCGCAGAGCTGACAGACACCCCATTCACCAACCAAAGGCGGGAGGGGCCCCGAGAGGGTGTCGCAGGGTGACCTCAACGTGAAGGTGCTCTGGGCCCAGGTCTGGCCACCAGAGATCCGAGGAGGCGGCCCCTTTAGAGCCTGTGACAGGACCAGTGTCACGGCCCCGTGACCTCCCAGCGAAGGCTGACCTTTCCAGAACATCCATCCATCCATCATCTATGTATATATGTATCTTTCTATGTATCTTCCTATGTACCTATCTACCGTTTCCCCGAAAATAAGACAGTGTCTTATATTAATTTTTTTCTCCCAAAGTTGCGCTACATCTTATTTTCAGGGGATGTTTTATCTTTCCATGCGCTAGGTCTTATTTTCAGAGGATGTCTTATTTTCGGGGAAACACGGTATCTGCCTATCTATCCATCATCC